AAAAAAAAAAAAAAAAAAAAAAAAAAAAAAAAAAGCAAGAAGGCGGTCATCGCTTTCTTTTCACTGCATCCGCTTTTTCTCTTTCTTTCTTTTCTTCTCTTCCTCCAAAAAAAAAACCCTTTCTGCTGCCTCAACCAGCAATCCTTTTTTTCTTCTTATCCCTCTTCTACATCCTTCCCCTTTTCTTTCGAAAATTGTCGAAGAAAAAATATTCAAAAAAACCCGAAAAATTTAGAAAAAAGACATCGCCCCGGTTTCTATACTTTGAGGCGACTTATTTTCCCAACTTCTTCGGACTGTGCGGTGTGTGGAAGAATTTCCTTTTGCCGCCTTTTCTTCATCCCTCGTGATCGCGTCCTTCGCATCGCCATTCCTCTTCATCTCCTCCCTTTTACTACCGACCCTGTGTGGATTATTGACTTAGGTCGTACGTCTATCGCGCTGACCCCAGTCTTTCCCTCTGATTTCCTTGCCGTGCCCAGCTGGTCTTGCCGATAGTGTGACCTCACACACAACAAACCAAGAGCATCCCATCTCATTCATTCTCCCACACACTCTGTCTGTGGCTTTTGCTTTCTGTCACTCACACCTCTGGGTCCATGTTCAGTGTTTGGCTGAGCATTGTGACGGGAGACCAAATCACTGAACTGGAGGAGGGGCACACACGTTCACCTACCTTTCCCACTCATCATTTGTCCCACTTTCGATAAGGGTTATCTCATACTAATCTTATCCTTGCATCTGTAGCTCAAAGGAAATAAAACTTAAAGAAAATCATCAAAATGTCTGCCGACGCCTCTACCACCCCCGCTGCCGACAGCAATGTCACCAGCACCCCCGAGACCAGCACCACTCCTGCTGCTCCTGCTGCCGAGGTCACTGCTGTTGAGAACACCAATGCTCCCAACGCTTCCCAGCCCCACTCTGCCTCTCTCTATGTCGGTGAACTCGACCCCTCTGTGACTGAGGCTATGCTCTATGAGCTTTTCTCTTCTATCGGCCAGGTTGCCTCCATCCGTGTCTGCCGTGACGCTGTTACCAGACGCTCTCTGGGATATGCCTATGTCAACTACAACAACACCGCCGACGGTGAGCGCGCTCTTGAAGATCTGAACTACACTCTGATCAAGGGCAAGCCCTGCCGTATCATGTGGTCTCAGCGTGACCCTGCTCTGCGCAAGACTGGCCAGGGCAATGTGTTCATCAAGAACCTGGATAGCGCCATCGACAACAAGGCTCTTCACGATACCTTTGCTGCCTTCGGTAACATCCTCAGCTGCAAGGTCGCCCAAGATGAGTTCGGAAACTCCAAGGGATACGGATTCGTCCACTACGAGACTGCTGAGGCTGCTAACAACGCCATCAAACACGTTAACGGCATGTTGCTGAACGACAAGAAGGTCTTCGTTGGCCACCACATCTCCAAGAAGGACCGCCAGAGCAAGTTCGAGGAGATGAAGGCTAACTTCACCAACGTCTACATCAAGAACATTGACCCGGAAGTCACCGAGGAGGAGTTCCGTCAGCTCTTCGAGAAGTTCGGTGAGATCACCTCCGCCACCCTCAGCCGTGACCAGGAGGGCAAGAGCCGTGGTTTCGGTTTCGTCAACTTCTCTACCCACGAGAGCGCGCAGGCCGCCGTTGACGAGATGAATGAGAAGGAGATCCGTACCCAGAAGCTCTATGTCGGCCGTGCTCAGAAGAAGCACGAGCGTGAGGAAGAGCTGCGCAAGCAGTACGAGGCTGCCCGCTTGGAGAAGGCCTCCAAGTACCAGGGTGTGAACCTTTACGTGAAGAACCTCACCGACGACGTTGATGATGAGAAGTTGCGCGAGCTCTTCGGACCTTATGGCACCATCACCTCCGCCAAGGTCATGCGCGACACCAACATTGAGCGTACTCAGACCCCTGAGTCCGACAAGGAGAAGGAGAACAAGGAAACCAACAAGGAGAATGAGAAGGAATCCCCAGAAGCCGAGAAGGCCGAGAAGGCCGAGGAAAAGCCCGCCGAGTCCGGTGATGAGAAGAAGGAGGACAAGGAGTCCAAGAAGGGCGATAAGAAGGGTCTCGGAAAGAGCAAGGGCTTCGGCTTCGTCTGCTTCAGCAGCCCCGATGAAGCCTCCAAGGCTGTCACTGAGATGAACCAGAGAATGGTCAACGGCAAGCCTCTTTATGTTGCCCTTGCTCAGCGCAAGGACGTCCGCAGAAGCCAGCTGGAGGCCAGCATCCAGGCTCGCAACACCATCAGACAGCAGCAGGCTGCCGCTGCCGCTGGCATGCCCCAGCCCGTAAGTTTTCCTTGACTTGTAGTTACAACTTTGCACTCCATGCTAACGCCAGCTCTAGTACATGCAGCCCGCTGTTTTCTACGGACCTGGTCAGCAGGGCTTCATCCCCGGCCAGCGTGGTGGCATTGCCTTCCCTCCTCAGCCCGGTATGGTGATGGCCGGTATCCCCGGTGGACGCCCCGGTCAGTACCCTGGTCCTTTCCCTGGTCAACAGGGTGGACGTGGCATGGGCCCCAACCAGCAGCTTCCTCCTAACTTCCAGGGCATCCCCATGGGCGCCATGCAGGGCCCTGGTGGCATTCCTAACGGCATGGGCTACCCTCAGGGCATGGCTCAGGTGCAGTTCGGACGCGGTGCTGGTGGCCGTGGTCAGGTTCCAGGAATGCCCAACATGGGTCAGGGCATGCGTGGTCCTGGGTACGGACAAGGCCGCGGCGGTGTGCCCGCTCAGCAAGGCCAGATGCGTCCTGGTCAAGGTGGTCGTGGACAGAATGCCGCTCAGCCCCCTGCCGGACGCCCCGAGGAGCCCGTTTCCGGTGGTCTCACCGCCCAGGGTCTCTCTGCCGTCCCCCCTCCTCAGCAGAAGCAAATGCTGGGTGAGGCCCTCTACCCCAAGATCCAAGCTCAGCAGCCTGAGTTGGCAGGCAAGATCACTGGTATGCTTCTAGAGATGGAGAACACTGAGTTGCTTAGCCTGTAAGTGCCACATTGGACCCAAAACGTCTTACGCTTCGGAGCAAATTGCTGATATTGATTAATCTAGGCTTGAGGACGAGGAGGCCCTGCGCGCCAAGGTCGACGAGGCCCTGAGCGTTTATGATGAGTACATGAAGAACAAGGGAGGCGAGAGCGAGGCGACCGGAGAGGCCGGCAAGCCCAAGGAGGCTGCCAAGGAGACCTCTACCGAAGAGAACAAGTCGTAAATTTTGTGTCTCAATGCGTGATATCCACGGTGGATTCGGACGGAGTTTTTGAACTGGGTCTCCCGACACGGAAGTTTTGATTCACCTTATTCTATTTTTTCTTTTTTGATGACCTACCCTTATCCCCTTTCTCGAATTAACGATACTCTTCTCTTATTTCCTCTTACCATTTTTCATTATTTCCTATTCCCCGCTGGTCCTGATATCCCTCGGTTTCCAAAAGTTCTTTGTTTAGCGGTGTCACCTGCCCGTATCTAGTGAGCGACACAGTTTATCGGATCCCGATGCTTATGCCCACTCCCTTGTGTCGGTAGTTGTGTTATGGTGATCCTGTACAAACGCACACTGGAAGAGGGGGAAAGCAAAGGAAAGCAACATACATATTGGGATCGGAGAAAAGTTGTTCGGATGCCATGACTTTCCAAATTTTCATGTCACGAAGAGGGAGGAAGTTGTGATGTCTTTGCTCTTCCTGTTCCCTAACCTTACATACCTCGTCCTGCTATCTGCCACGAGTGTAATATAGACTTATGACTTCCTCACGGGATGCGCTTCTGTTTCGCTGTAGCCGTGTATATCTCCATTCTTCCTCCCTGTCGATGTAGTAGAGGCCACAGGAGACAGCGTAGCAAAATAGATCAGACCATTGATTCCTATCGTTAGTCATAAAACTCATCATATCAACCAGATAGCCTGTACAGTATTTATACACAATCGCCATGCCGTTCAAAAACTCGGATACTGCTGCCCAAACATGTCAAACAGATTATCAAAGTTTGCCCCCTGCAACAAATCCACCATATTCAGATCGAAATCCATCATACTATGCGAACCACCCTCCGGAAAGAAAAGCCGGTCCTCCGGACTTTGCACCGTAGTAGGAGACAACAACAACCTATTCCCACCTTGTACTAAACCTGGCGGATTATCCGACACTTGTATCTCATTAGAGTACGATATATTCGAGACACCCAAACCAGGGTCATTAGTATTATCGTCCTTGTCGCTAGGATGCTCCGTTCCATTATGGGTCGTCGCGAAGCTTGCAGACCCTAGTCGAGAATTCCTCGTAACAGGATGGGAGTGCAGGCGGCGTTTCTTGCGGGTTTCGGGGTCGTTATCGTCCTCGGGTCTGGTTCTTGACAGAAGGGGGTCGGAGGGTCTGTGAAGGCTTGGGACTGTGCTCGAGTGTTGGATGTTTCGGGATAGGAGGGTTAATGCTCGGTGGCAATTTTTGGCGGTTTCCCATTGCGGAGACATGAGTTGGAGGAAGTCGAGGCATTTGGAGATCTCTCTGTTTGGATTGGCTTAGTTTTGGGTTGAGATGGGGGTTGGAGAGGGGGGCACGTACTGTAATCCTTTCGATAAGACGTATTGTCGAAGTTGACAGGCGAAGGCGAGTACAAGACCGGACATCCACGCTGCGGATAGGAATCCGGGCCAGAATAGGGCCTGTTTTGCATCTACTTGGGCTTTGAGTGCGGTGAGGATTTCCCGTGCGGCCCCGATGCAGGTCTGTAGGCCGGAGCAGAATTCGGGCGTGGAGGGGCTTAGGGACAGAGATGGTCGGTTGATGAGGAGAATGAGGTGTTGGTAGAGGACGGTGAAGAAGGGCCCGAAGTTGAATGGTCTATCGGCTATGGCGTCTTGATCGGTTGGGGGTCTTAGGGTTTGGAGATCAACTGAGAGACTGTTCCACCATTTGTGGACGTCGGTGATCAGGAAAAGGACCGAGCTGCGGCGGATGGAGCGGACGAGGATGGATTTGTGGAAGAGTTCCAGTGCTCTCCCTGTGAGTTTGCCGGATTCAACATAGCTTGCGAAGGCGATTTCTCTTTTGTTCTGGAGTGGCTCGGAGTCACTCGGCGTATTGCGATGGGATTCGTGACCAAAAGATTGCTCAGCCGGTAGTTGTATTGCATCAGCACTGCTCGCTGGTGCAGAAGATGCTCTATCGTCGAGGTTGAAAGTAGACAAGCCCATCCTAAGGCCGTGTGCTCTATGTGATCCGGGGACATGGATTTCGTCGGCCCCTGGGGCGCAGACGTCGATATCGGAATCTTGTATGCCAAGAGGAAGACCAAGAGCCTGGCTTAGATACCGGTCTATAGCGTACGCACACCAGAATATCCTCTTGCGTAACTGCCGATCATGCGATGAAAGTTCCCTGTATCGGAATGGACAGCGGTGGAGACCGGCATGCATCATTGATCGTAGCATACAGCCGCCCACTGTTGATGCCATTCGAAGTGACATTTTGGTTACCAAATATAGTTGGGATGCTAGCAGTGCCTGCAGAGACGAGAGATCATTTCTAAAAGTCAGAGAACTGAGTAATGACTGCATATTGCTCGGTGATTCAATTCGAGACTCTGACGGAAGACGCAAGTCAGGCCTCAAATGGCTCGCTAAATTGAACACGCACTGGAATATCACTGTCCAGCATGTATTTCGGTGGTCTGGCGATGGTGGAATAGAATGGCTTTTGCGTTGATCGGAATAGAGCAGTTCCATTGCTTGCAGGAAGGTTGGTCCATGCAGAAAGGGAAACAACGGGTGCCAAACTTTGAAATATACCATCATGAGTTCTCTTGCGGTGTCTAGCGGCGGTGCTTGACCCAGTATCGCCGCCATTGCAGGGTCATATTCCCATTGACAAAAAGGTTGTTCGCCCCCGGGCATCGGGGATGCTTTGACGGAGGATGGGGCAGAGCGCCTGTCATGGTGCGAGCCATCAATGCCAACGAGGGTGTCCTCTGGCAGTGGGAATTCTTGCCCGGAGGATGCATCTAACGTATCCAAGTTTCTTGAAAAAGCCTGTCGGACCGTATTAATAAAGTAAACACCGCTGGAACTGCCAACAAATTGACTCTCTTCGTTGGATTGTGCCGTCAAGGAACCGATTTCTGACGGGCCAGACGTGAGATCCGTGGACTCCATTCTGGCCAAAACATGGTGCTTTGCCAGATGTTGGATAGTGAGCACCAGGGCTACAACGATATCCTGAGAGAAGAAGTGTCTATTGGGATCTTTGCATTGGTAAACCCCGTTCAGGGTGAGAGTCAGACTCCATGACTCGAAACCCGGTCTAGTTCGTCTTTTTATGAACAACATCCCGCTGAGTCAGCCGGCCCAATGTAGGATGCACAACTATCCATACAATCATGATATACGAAAGACGGCGTCTATTCTATTCTTTTTGGCTCGTTATTCTTAATGGTCCCTAGCATTTAATTTGTTACACTGTTTAAGGTAACGAGAAATTTCAAAGACTGAATATTATGGAAGAAGACATTGCTATGAGGTGTTGCCCCAAATAGAACGACAGGCAACAGGCACATCATACCAAGCGCTCAATCTCTTTATTCACAGCATCCACCACTCCTTGTGTATTCGACGTGCCTCCGAGATCCGGCGTGAGGATACCAGCAGCGCATACCCTTTCCACGCAATCCATGAGCTTCTTCGCCGCCTCCTTTTCACCCAACCAGGACAGCATCTCCGCAGCGGACCAGAAAGTAGCCACGGGGTTGGCCACCCCCTTGCCAGTGATATCGAATGCACTCCCGTGTACTGGCTCAAAGATAGAGGGATTCTTGCGGGTTGGATCCAGGTTGCTGGAAGGAGCCACACCGATAGATCCAGCCAACGCCGCCGCCAAGTCGGACAGAATATCCATGTGCAGATTCGTTCCCACGATAGTGTCGATCGATTGGGGCTTCGCCACCATGCGGACCGTCATTGCATCCACCAGCATTTTGTCCCACGTAACGTCGGGGAAATCCTTAGCGACTTCCGCCGCGACCTGGTCCCAGAGCACCATCCCATTCCGCATGGAGTTACTCTTCGTAACCACGGTCAGTAGCTTGCGGGGTCTGGATTGCGCGACTTCAAAGGCAAAGCGCATAATCCTCTCGATTCCGACACGGGTAAACATGGCCACCTCCGTCGCAGCTTCCCACGGTTGGCCGACGTGACTGCGTCCGCCCTGACCGGAGTACTCTCCTTCGGAGTTTTCGCGCACAAGCATCCAGTCAATGCCCTCTGTCGCAGTGTTGAGAGGGCATTTGGTGCCCGGGAATGTGCGCACGGGACGGACATTAGCATATAGCTGCAGCGGCCCACGAAGGGCTAGTAAGAGACCCCAAAGGGAGATGTGGTCCGGAACATCTGTGTCACGTATAAGCATGCGGATGCGAGTGCAACGGCTCCGCCGGGGTTTATCTAGTACTGACCTGGGGCACCGACGGCACCAAACAGCCCGGCGTCGAACTTGCGCAGCGTGTCTAAACAATCTTCGGACACATATCGGCCGTGTTCCTTGTAGTATGCAGTTCCCCATGGAATGTGGGTGAAATCGATATCGAACGTTCCAAGGGTCTTGGCGAGCTTTTCCACCACCTGGATGGCGGCGTCGACGACTTCAATGCCTATCCCGTCGCCCGGAATGGACGCGATGCGGTAGGTATGTTTCTGAGAGGCCATTTTGGGTACAATATGCGTGATTCTAGAGATCTAGTGGAACTTGTCAGATCAAGGACCCTGCATCTACTATAAATAATGTTGTATCCTTGATCTTGATGATGTGGATGAAGCCAAGCATACTTCGTCGGTCGTGTTCTGGCTGAAGGTTCACCCGTTGCGGAGCAGAAGATGCCCCACGTATACTCATTCAACAACGCGATTAGGTACCAAGATAGGGACCCATTACAATACTCCTCTAGAAAGATAGTAGATGCAGAGCGGAATGACAAGGGCTTTGTTGCCGCAGTTTGTTCCACGTTTCATGGCCGCCTTCATATACGCACAGATCTGGCTACACGTAGTATGCGCTTGTTAGCATTGCAATCAAAGGCGTGGATGTTTCATTCAATCTTAAATCTATGTTTGTGTTGCCGAAGAAGTGTAACTGGAAATTTGATATGTACGACCTGGGTGTGGATCCAAGAGCTTTCTGTACACCTTGAGACATGGACATACCGTGTTGACTGAATTTGAATGTATAACTCCATGCTGAGTGTGGCTATATGGGAAAGCTACTTACAATGATACAGTTGGATGTCACACATACTCTCGTACTGCACCTCAAAGGGTCCAGCTTGTCGAATTACACAGCTTCCTCGGGCTCATACAACTCAAGATGAGGCAGCAACGGTACACCCAGGTTAGGAGCCTAAATGAGTAGTTTGAGCAACACTACAGCATAAAAGTCTCCGGAGCTTGATTCAGGAGCAATGTCTCACATCGACAATGCCGAAATGATTTGTGTGAGCATGCGTGTGACGCTGGTTCATGTCACAGTTTCATACCCACGCAGTATAAAAGCCCAGCACATGCCCGCTTAGCAGCCCATTGACAAGCTAGTCACTACAGCATTATCCATAAAGCCCTAACTCACTTACGAATTCATCTTTCATCATGAGAGCAACTCTTCCCTTGCTTGCACTATTCACTGCTCTCCCGGCTGTCCTGGCAGCTGGAAGATGCAGAGAGGGTCTGAACTATTGCGGATCCACCTTGATCTCGCTGGGTTTGGTTGCCAATCTCTTGATGTTGTGTCTGCAAAGCTAACTGTGCTCTTCTAGGATGGACACAGAGCGAACTGCTGGCGATTGCAGACGGAGACACCAACGTCGAGAAGGCTCTCTTTTACTGCGAGATGGACGGCATCGTCGAGTACTCTGGACCTTGTACAGTGTGCCAACGGGCCCCGGATGGACATTCTGATGCCTGTGTATGAAGCTCTTTGTGATAATATATGAATAACTGGAGCTGATAAGTGGATTAGGATGAGAGTCAGGGCCCTTAATGTAAGGCGCCGACGGGTCTAGCTTGGAAGCAAGTCCTTGTTGACTTCAATACGCTGGACCGAGACTGCATATTGCGTGTCTTCCAGTAGCGAGGACCAAATACTTTTCAATGACACGCTGTAACTACGACATTGCACTCAAGTGATGTATAGTTCTTGAACCTGAATTATACAGGGAATTATTGGAGTATGATAACGACTCTTTTGTAGAACACGTTCCTAGTCCAGTGCATAGAGTCAAACTGATAACCCCCGCATTTCGAGCGCCAGGGACCGGGGTTCGACCCGATAGATAACAGAAAGATGGACTGGAACCCAATTGATAGAAAGGCGTAAATCGGATTTCCACCCGATATATATGGATCTAGCAAGTCGGATGCGGAACCGACAGTTCGGGCCTCGACGCCGAGGGAAGCCACTTAAAAGCCGTTGAACGCGCTGGAATCGCAGCGACATATCATATACCCCAGAGTCTTGACGATTGCGTTATACTTCCGAAGATGTTGCTTAAAATAAGAAAGCACCTAAGCACGGCGGCGCAGACCGCCCCAATAGAAACGGACGTTTCTGCGTCATTTTTCGACGCCGCATCATATATCCCCCCGGATGCGATCTTCGCTCTGACGGCAGAGTACAATGCGGATACCTTTCCCCAGAAGGTCAACCTGGGCCAGGGGACTTATCGCGATGAGAATGGACAGCCATGGGTCCTTCCTTCTGTGCAAAAGGCTCGCGAGACTCTTCTTTCCCAAGGGCTATACCACGAATACCTACCAATTCTTGGCCTCCAAACGTTCCGCAACGAAGCCACAAAACTGGCCTTAGGATCGGAAATATATGACAAGAAACAGTCCCAGGTATATTCTAATAATCTCTTGCAGATTTTGGTTTCCACTATAATAGCAAATGCTGATGAATAACCAGCTTGCCATCTGCCAAAGTCTCTCGGGAACTGGTGCTCTGCACCTGGCAGGATTGCTTCTCCGAAGCGTTCGCAAACCGCTGCCGAAAGTGTACATTCCTTCGCCAACCTGGTCAAACCACGGCCAAGTCTTCTCGTCACTGGGATTTCGGTGTGAAACATTCCAGTACTATGATGCGGAGAAGAGAGATATTGATATAGAGGCGTATTACTCGGCGCTGAGAGCCGCGGAGCCAAACTCCGTTGTTATTATTCACGCCTGTGCTCACAACCCTACCGGTTGCGATCCCAGCAAAGAGCAATGGAAACAGATTGGTTCGATAATGAAAGAACGGAAATTGTTCCCACTATTTGATGCCGCATATCTAGGCTTCAACTCGGGAAATGTGGATGACGACGCGTTTGCTATGCGCTATTTTATCGACGAACTAGAAATGGAAGCTGGTGGTTGTCTTTCCTTTGCGAAGAACATGGGACTCTACGGTACGAGAGAATGACACCTCCCCAGGGTTGATCGAATTATGACCCCGTGCTTCGCTAACACCATAACTATAGGTGAGCGTGTGGGCTGCCTTTTCTTCGCAGCCGGCACAGAAAAGGCTGCGACAAATACTCAGTCAGTTCTTGAGATGCTACAACGCTCCGAAGTATCAAATCCGCCAGCCTATGGAGCGAAGATAGCAAGTACTATTTTGAGCGACGATGCCTTAAAGGAGATGTGGTTTGCAGACTTGATCACTATGAGTGGACGTATTCGCTCCATGAGACGAGCGTTGTATGATGGACTGATTAAATCTGGTAAGTTTCTCTCCCCGGAAGAATGAGTATCCTCCTACTGATACAGTTATAGGGGCCCCTGGCACATGGGAGCATCTGATACGCCAATCTGGAATGTTTGGATTCTTAGGACTTTCACCTGCAGTCGTCCAGAAGCTCAAGGGTGAGTCTACTTCTGAAAGCAGTCTTCCTATGACCATTCTAATCGCTTCGTCGCAGACAAGTATCACATCTATATGGCGAGCAACTCTCGGGTTTCCATCGCTGGACTTAATCCGTCGAATGTTGAATATGTGGCACACTCGATTGCTGAATGTCTTAATGAATCCTAGTCCTCTGTTAGCTCTGTATAATCTGCTACTGGCCATGATAGATGAAATATAAAGGTCCCCGTACCTAGTTAACGATGAAGGTTATAGTAAAGTAGATCAAACGTCCCAGTCCTTATCAACGTCTAGTCACATGAACCGAAGCCCTACCCCTCTCTCTTTTGCGGGGATTGAGTACGCGTCTTATCACCTCATAGAATAATACTCTGAGGACTACTATTACCCACTCGCAAGAAGGTAACTCTTCCAAAAAACGTATCACTATGACTAGCTCGAATCTCGTTCCTAAGCCATGGGTACCACGCGACCAACCCCCAGACATTACCCTCATCAACATCAACGTAATCGATGTAGAGGCCGGCCGTGTTATCCCGAACTGTAGCGTCCATGTACAAAATGGGCTTATTGCACGCATTATGCCAGCGTCATCACTATCCAGAAGCTCAGAGGCACCGTTCACCACCGGACCGAGGACAAAAACCAAGTTCATCAACATGCGAAACCAATATCTGTGCCCCGGATTGATAGACTGCCATGTCCATCTCACAGCCACCCCAGGAAGCACCTCATTCAGGGACATTTTCGCCGCAAGTCCCAATACAATCGCATACCGCACGACTCACGTCGCCCGGAGTATGCTCCTTCGAGGCTTCACCACCGCGCGAGACACAGGCGGCGCCGATGCGGCACTACGCGATGCCATCGCAGAGGGGCTGCTACCTGGCCCACGCCTCTTCATCGCGGGTAAAGCCCTCTCTCAAACCGGCGGCCACGGGGACTTGCGAGCCCCGTATCAGAACGACGAGCATAAATGCTGTGGTGGACACTCGCCTGCGCTTGCCCGTGTCTGCAATGGCGTCCCGGCGTGCTTAGAGGCCGTTCGAGATGAGCTTCGCCAAGGGGCGAACTTCATCAAGATAATGTGCGGAGGGGGAGTCGCGACACCCACCGATGCGCTCGACATGCTCCAGTTCACGGCCGAAGAGATTCGCGCGATCACTACCACCGCCGCATACTCCAAGACCTACGTCACCGCTCACGCCTATACGACGCAGGCAATCCGCCACGCGGTCGACAATGGAGTGCGTGGCATTGAACATGGCAACTTCATTGACCCCGAGACTGCCAGATACTGTAAAGAGAAGGGGGTGGTTGTCACTCCGACACTGATCACCTATCAGGGGATGACAGAGCCCCCGTTTGATCATTTTCTGGACGAGTTCAGCCAAGCGAAGAACCGTGACGTTCTGGCTAGTGGCCTTAGGGCTCTGGAAATTCTACGCGACGCGGGCATCACGATGTGCTACGGTTCGGATCTTCTGGCAGGCCTCCACACGTTACAGAACCGTGAATTTAGTATTCGATCGGCTGTTCTCAGTCCGCTGGAGATCCTTCAGTCGGCGACTATCAATGCTGCTAAATTGGTGGGTATGGAAGGGAAGTTGGGTTGTATAAAGGAGGGGGCGATTGCGGACTTTCTGATTCTCAATGCCAACCCCCTCGAAGACATCACGGTCTTGGACCATGTACAGAAGTCCTTAGTGGCGATTGCCAAAGATGGGCGGATTGTTACTAGTAGGGTACCTGAGTTAACAGTGGACCCTCTTTACGATCCGTTTAGGATCCCGTCTGCCTAATGAGTCTGGGCCGTGAAGATCGACAACAAGTAGTCCTCTGCATTTGACCATTCGGAGCCGTTTCCAGAGTCGGTCTGCATAGGGCTGGTTGGGTATTGAGACCAAGAGTGGGGGTTTTCAGACCCGACATACAAACGAAGCTTTGGCCTTTCTCCTGCATTGTATGTGTTAGGGCTTGCTAGCCTAAGAACTACGCTCAAGTAGATCGACACTACACAATGTGAATGTAAATAGTTAGACCTGCAAGCTTGTTACCAATTATAGAATGCGTTAACAGTGTGTAGACAACCCTCAGCATTTCCAAAGGATTACCTTTCCTCCATAACGCCAAAAGCGAACTGCAGAGGAATGGCATATCCTGCACTTGGACTTCTGATATGCACGTATGTGCTGAACAAACATAGACGCATTTATCGAATTATAGCTCCTGTAATGATCCGGTCTCACTTATGGCTGCCCGATGTCTGATCTATACCTGTGTGGCTTCCCAGACAGGGATATCAGATGGTTCCTTTCGAGATGGAAGCTTTGAAGAGGACTAAGTTCATGCAGCCATGCTACCCATGCGTTGTCCTATACAAGAATATTTTAGTTTCTGCTATCCTGTTTGAACCTTATGGTCTATCTACATTCACGTCTGGACCTGAAATAGGGATATAGGATACCAGAGAACAAACTATACATTCTGGTAGGCTGTGCACATGCAGGTATCCTTTGAGATGGACCAGTGGAAATTGTCCCACTGTCTTGTTTGAGTGATCCAGATTCATCTAGATAAAGGTAGCTGCTACACCAAATGGGTGCATGCAGATACGCCTCAATGACGCTTTATAGCTGTTAGTAGTTCACTGGTTTTCCGTCAGCAGAGCGCCAAAGCGCCATGATAGTAGGGGTTACTTGGATTTACAGGAGATGGCGTTGCCACGTAAGGAATCTTGGTGTTTCCTCCAGGGTAAGTGGGCTTGTCTGAGTGCTGTGTGACTTACGCAGCGAGGTTGGCAGCAAACGGAGTCCCTGGAGCTGGCCTAAGCATTCATGGGGCCCACACGTCACTGAGCCTTGTGCAACTGGGCACTGGAAAAATAAAGGCATTATATCAAATTTGACCAGACAATCCCATGATACGGTATGATTCTGTACTATGCATGCTCGCCACCGCGGTATTGGGAATATCACCCCAGCATGGTTGTCCAGTGGGCGAAGGATGGGGACGACGCATCCTTGCAGCGTTAGTGTCTGACTAGTACTTACCCCTCCAGATAAATGTATTGTTGAGCTGGGCAAGCGACTAGCCGGCGCCTCCTATGCAGGAAATATAAATCGCGTCTTCTCCTACCATGCTAGTTTTCCCCACACCAAGCGGCTATTGTGATCTGCCATTTCGCATTTCAACCGGACGCGCCGGATCCTGACTGTCTCCTCAACTCGTACCTCGTTCTTAAAGAAAAAAAAAAAAAAAAAAAACCATCAACATGCGCCCTACGGACCGCCGCGGCTTTACTGTCGCCATTTTCTGCGCACTTCCAATAGAGGCGGATGCCGTTGTCGAGTTGTTCGATGAAATCTATGACCACCAGTACGGCAAACATTTCGGGGACACAAACTCGTATACAGTGGGAAGAATATTGACACACAATGTTGTCCTGTGCCATATGCCCGGAATGGGAAAAGTAAATGCTTCAAATGTGGCGTCTAATCTGACGTCCAGCTACACTGGAGTCAGTCTCGCCTTGGTTGTTGGTATCTGTGGGGGAGTTCCTGTGCTGCCGTCCAGCGAGACTTCAATTTATTTAGGCGATGTCATCATCAGCAATGCGGTTGTCCAATATGATTATGGCCGACAATACCCAAACGGTTTTCAGCGAAAGAAAGACATCCTAGATACACTAGCAAGGCCACCTCAAGAGATCCGAGGCCTGCAGAGTCTATTGGAAACAAACAGGGCACGCAAAAACCTCCAGAATGACGTTATCCAGTATCTCAAGGGACTGGAACAATCACGGTCAATTTGGAAATATCCAGGCAATACGTGCGATGTTCTGTTTAATGCTTCTTATCATCACAAGCATCGTCAGCAGGCTGCTTCTGCGGGATGCATATGTTTTGACAGCAAAAGCCCTGGTCAGATATGCCAGGAGGCTCAAAAGAGTAGTTGCGACAGCATAGGGTGTGGTGAGGAGGGCATTGCCCGTCGCCGACTTGATATGCATACAACCACGCCATCAGTTCACATTGAAAAGATTGCCTCTGGTGACATGGTCATGAAGTCTGGAGAGCATCGTGACAGGCTGGCAATTGGTGATGGCGTTGCTGGCTTCGACATGGAAGGAGCAGGGGTATGGGATATATTGCCATGCATCATTATCAAGGGCGTATGTGACTATGCAGATAGCCACAAGGATAAAAGGTGGCAAGCATATGCCGCAGCAACTGGCGCGTCGGGTGCAAAGGCTCTCTTGCGGCATTGGAGTCCTGCCTCCAATGAAGGTCAGTCAACAATGCTTGATCTGCGCTTTTACACTCTACTAAGTGTAGTGAAGTATAGGTACAAAGCCAAAAAGTCCTCACTGGATGGTCCCTTTTGGCAGGAATTTCCAATTTGTTGGGCGTCAGGATGAGATTGCGGAGCTAGAAAGATTGATAATAGAACGGCAAGGCCCAAACAAGATCGCGATTAGCGGATTGGGAGGGGTTGGAAAGACCCACGTAGCACTGGAGCTGGCTTATCGTGTTCGAGAAAGAGATGTTGACTGCTCGGTTTTCTGGATCCCATGTACTAGTCCTGAAATCATTGAGCAGACTTACATGGACATCGCCCAGATGCTTGGAATGCAAGATGTCAAACCAGCAGAAGCAAAAGAGCAAGTCAAGGCATATCTTCGTCATAAGGACGATCTGAAGTGGCTTCTTATCTTCGACAACGCAGATGATATGGATATGTGGACCAAGGGGAGCAATGGGGCTCCAGCACTGAAGGACCTTATACCTCAAAGTGAACAAGGTCGAATCCTCTTTACTACTCGCAATAGAAAGCTTGCTGTAAAGCTGGCCTCCCGTGAAATTGCGATCTCCGAGGTAGATGAGGAGACTGGTGTGAAGATGCTAGAAACGGCACTGCCTGGGGAAGACGTGATAAAAGACCGCGAAACCGCCGTGGCCCTTTTGAGTCAGCTGACCTTCCTGCCCTTAGCAATCATGCAAGCAGCGGCATTCATCAAGGAAAACAGCATCAGCCTTGGAGACTATCTAACTCTGCTACAGGAGCAGGAACCAGAGGTGGTGGAGCTTCTAAGCGAAGATTTTGAGACAGAAGGGCGTTATCAGGATGTCCCCAACCCGGTAGCAACCACCTGGTTAGTTTCATTTCAGCAAATCCAGCAGATTGATCCACTGGCTGCTGAGTATCTCTCATTCATGGCTTGCGTCAACCCACGAAATATACCACAGTCCCTCTTGCCACCAGCAAAGTCCAAGTTAAAGCTGGTGAACGCCCTAGGGCTTCTCAGTGCTTATTCATTTATTTCTGGCCAAGCCAGGGATAGCCCTCTTAACCTTCATCGACTTGTACATCTAGCGACTCGCAACTGGATGAGGAGAAACCAGCAATTCACGTTATTTATCTGCAAAACAGCAGACCGGTTAAGCGAAGTCTTCCCCAATAATAACCACACAAATCGGATTCTGTGGCGGACATATTTACCCCATGCATTATCTTTGTTAGAAGAGGATGAGTTTAGAGGTCAGCAAGAACAATACATAGGCTTGCTTGAAAAAGTTGGGGACTGTCTGTTCAGTGACGGGAGATATAATGAGGCAGAAGCGCCGTTTTGCGACGTCAGGGACATACGGGAGAAGCGAAATGGGGAAGCACGCCTTTCAACTTTGACCAGCATGAGCAAATTAGCATCAGCATACTTTGGCCAAGGTCGATACACGGAAGCGGAGGCGCTCAATATTCGTGTGTTAGAGACCAGAAACCAGATACTGGGTCCAGAGCACCCTGATACCCTGACCACTATGACTAGCCTAGCAGCAATAAGCCATCAGCAAGGACACTTTAAACACGCAGAAGAGCTCATGGTGAAGGTACTGGACAGTCAGAATAGAGTGCTAGGTTCTGAACACCCCTCGACTCTGGCCAATACATCGAAACTGGCATCAGTTTATATGATGCAGGGACGATATAGACAAGCTGAAGAGCTGTTTACGCAAACAATGGAGAGAATGAAGAAGGTGTTGGGCCCTGAGCATCCTTCTACTTTGTCTACTACGAACAGCCTAGCCACACTCTTGAAAACCTGGGGGGCAAAAACCCGATTGAAACTAGCGGAAGAGCTGGAGAAGGAAATGATTGAGACCCAGATGAAAGTGTTCGGCCCCAGACATCCAACAACCCTGATCGGCATGAATAACCTGGCGTTGACATACTGGTACCAAGAAAAATGGCAGCAAGCAGAAGAGCTCGGGACAGAAGTAATGGAGGCCAAAAGGCAACTGCTTGGATCGGAACATCCATACACTCTGACCAGTATGAATAACCTAGCAATGACATATTCCCAGCAGGCCAAATGGGGACAGGCAGAGGAGCTGATGACCCAGACACTGGAAAGCCAGAAGAATGCATTAGGCTCCGAGCATGTTGACACGATAACCAGCATGTTTAACCTCGCTCATATTTGGAGACAAACAGGCAGACACAGCGATTCCATTCGATCCCTGGCTGAGTGTGTCCGACTCCGTGAGAAGCAGCTAGGACCCAAGCATCCAGATACGGTGAGAGCGAGGGATATACTCAGTCAATATGAGGAGGAAATAGACCAGGACGAGGACCAGGAATCAAGCGTGTTTTCGGAGACAGAAACCTCAGGCGATGAAACGATAGGATGAACCTTGTAATTTGTGCACCCAAGCTGGTCTTCTCGGGTAAACCTTCTACCGCATACGTTTCTTCTCACCACTCGAACACCAGGCAGAATAATCTTCCTTCTTGTATGCACAGTTATCATTCTCAAGCCACGTCCGCAATTAGCCATCGCCTTGCCTTCTGGCGTTGAACTACTGCACATCAAATACTTAATAGAACCTGGATAAATTGTTGTGAGATGGCTCCCTCAACGAAAGTAACGAAAGCGTCCCGTATTACAATTGCTTGTAACGCCTGTCGATTTCGGAAGCAAAAAGTGAGAAGCATATCGATTCAAACTTTTCCCTGGACTATAGAGCTAATATATTGTGTAGTGTAGTGGCAAAAAGTGAGGCTTGACTCTTACCCATAACTGATATGGACCGCATTGTAACTAATAGGGTGATCTCAAGGCCAGTGTGTACCCAATGCCTCCAGCACAATCGGATATGTGACTGGCCTGAGCAGCTTAAACGGTTCGTGTGATACTCGATCTAAGACTTGGACCGCAGATATCTCATGCTCCTACAGTGGTCCTGCAAAAGGCTATATAGAGTCCCTGGAGCACCGGTTGCAAGAAACAGAAAACGTCTTGCTTAATGTGCTCTCCCAGATCTCGGACGCTCAACTGTCCGCCAGTATCGCTCAAGGCCAGCAGTATAGAACAAGAAACAACAACGGTCACTTGCTGTACTCCCCAGTGCCCCGTCTAGGGAGAAGAGGCGCGGAGTACTGGAAAAGATTTCCTCTGGACACTCCCCATAATGTCCGCGAATGGCAATATGACTGTCTAGATCAAGGCTTAGAACCTTCAACGCCTAGCGTCTCTGATAATAATACCAGTCTGCAATTATCAGGAGCCGAGTTTGCTGAAGAAACGATCGTTGAGTCAAACAATCAACGCGAGCCATCCGAATACCCATCTTCGGACATGTCTCAGACTGAGTTCAACACCAAACAAGGTGAAAATAACGGCGTACCGCTCTCCCCTAAGACTACAAGCCCGTTACCTCCCAATTTCAGCAGAAAATCGGGAAAACCACCCCCTACGAAAGCATTTCGATCTATCCAAAGTGATGTAGGGCTTCAGACGAGACGCCATACCGTACAGGCCCAGCCAGAGACCCTAGAAGGGCTCAGTACCACGCCGCAGGAACCCAACTTTTGGAGTGGGGCGCCGTCTGTCAACTTTCAACAACAGTTCCTCTGGTAGTTGAACATTGAACTTATAACTTCACGATAGTGAACCCAATCAAAGAAACCGTGTACTGAGATTATGGCTGGCCCATTCCATCGTACGTCGGGAATCCCAGAAATTGTAACAGAATCATCAACTATCTTGGCCAAATGAGAAAGACGATACCACTATCAGTGAGTTGTACTATGTCAAAGAAATTCCCATTAAATGATACTATCGATGGTTGGTTATACTAAGTTATTCGAGACATTCAGCTGCATCATCGCCAAACCTCGCCGTCAGCTGTGGATCACGACTTTCCTGACGCCACATGGACTTCAATGCTTCCAGTTCCGGTGTCGCGCGTCTTGATATATACTAGATCAAGGGTGCCATCGTGATTGAAATCACTCAATTCCCAGAATCCATTGTTCTCCGGGTAGAAGGTTGTGCCAACCTCCTGAACGCGAGTGTTGTAAGTGGACGAGCCAGACGCAACATGCACCTCAACCTTTCCAGTTCCCGTGTTCTGAGTCTTGATGTAAGCTAGATCCAATTTTCCATCGCGATCGAAGTCGACCATCTGCCAGGCGCCATTATCTTCTGGGTAAAATGTCGTCCCAACCTCCTGGATTCGCCTCTGGTAGTTTGATGCTCCAGATGCCACGTGCACTTCGACCTTCCCTGTGCCTGTATTACGGGTCTTAATATAAATTAGATCCAGCTTTCCATCACGGTCGAAGTCTGCCATCTGCCAAACACCATTATCCTCCGGGTAGAACGTGGTTCCCGTTTCCAGAATACGTGTCTGATAGTTGGATGACGCGGACGCAATGTGTACCTCCACCCTACCGGTCCCGGTATTCCTGGTCTTAATGTAAACAAGATCAGGTCTGCCATCACCGTCTGCATCAATCAGTTGCCACGTTCCATTATCCTCAGAGACAAATGTTGTTCCGACTTCAAGGGTGCGAGTCCTGAATCCAGATGAACCCGACGCGATGTGAACCTCTACCTTCCCAGTTCCGGTATTGGTGGTTTTGATGTAGGCCAGGTCTTCGGTGGGATTGCTGGGAATCATTTGCCATGGGCCATGTGGATCTGGAGCACTGAAGGTACTGCCGGTCTCAAGAATACGAGTCTGATAAGGAGCCCCATGAGCTGGGTTTGCGAGAATAGCCAAAGGGAGAAGAATGTAGAGGGAAAAAAGAAGTTTGCATCGTTCGAAGGTCGCCATTTTTTTTTCTCACTTTATCTGCAAATGCTGAGAAGTTGTATTTCCCAGTCCAAGGCCATGTTCATCTTTTTATACCCCGTTCTTGGTACTTTGTCATATCGTATGACTTCCATCCGAGGAAACACATTCTCTGAGTGTAGATGAATGCTCCTTGAGAAACACCCCCGGATGGCTAGATTCTCTTCTGCAGCTCGTATCTGCATGTCTCTTCACAGTACAGGAACTGGCTCATTGCTAGCGCGAAAAATCAGTAAGCATGACAATAAGCATAATGCGTTTCGACATGTGATTAGATGATGGAGCAATAATGGTAATTTGTCAGACCGTCGGGGGGCGAATCGCTTCAGATTCCCTGTAGCACTTCGCGCTATAATGCTTACCCCAACGTCGTATTGCAGGTGTCCTTCATGGGCTAATCATGTACCGCAAGGATAATGACTTGTTTGAGTAGATTAAAGCGCTCCCTTGATTCTGCATCAGGACTTGTCATGCGACCGTAAGGTGTTCTGCTAGTTCTACTTTTATTGACATTGATAGCATCGAACGATAGATATGACAGGGAGGTAATACCCTATATGGAGGTCGTAATATCAAGAACTGTCATCCGAATCGGTCATATCCTGTTCACCCATATCATCAGAGCTATCGAATTTCGCAAACTCCATGCCCGAAGCATCTCCATAAAGCTCAATGCGTCTCTGGTCTTCCAGCCATCGCATAATCTTATATTCTGCTTGGGAGACAGCTCGAACGAGGGTAGATAATGATACCCCAACCACCTTTGCTGCCGTTTCGTAGAAAGGCCGCGCATTCTCGGGCAAATCAGACTCCATTCTATATCGCACATACATTGACCCTGGCCGAGGGATATCCAAGTCATCCTCAGCGATAACTTTCCGCGACTTAAGTTGTTGTGTAACTGCTCGTAGCATTGAGCCTATAGCTTCCTCGTCATCTTCGTCCGGAGGGCCTGCTACTTCTTGAGAGTCCGTGCTGGTTGGCCCAACGGGAAATAGCTCGCTTAATGGATTTGACGCTTTTCTCAAGGGTTAGAGGCACAAATAAAACAATTGTTTTCGATGCCGCCATACCTTTACTATTGTCGAGCCAGTTGTTCTCGTACCAACTCATGTACTCATCCAGTTGACTCGGTGTCATGTTGAACACATCACGCTCATTCACTAAGATTTCATTACCTTTGCCAATTCTGCCCCTTGCGGTTTCTCGGCTATCGAAATGTCTCTGGGTTTGGGCCCAGAGCTTCCAATCGATGACTTGCGTGGTGGGTTCTTTTGCCGAGGTAGGGTATCTCTTAAGGTCGTCGAAGGGGAAAAGTAACTTAGTCGATATAACTATGAGGCTGATCAACTGGATTTCAGGTAGGTCATGAGGTCTACTTCTGCCGGTAAGACCTTTCGGGAACTCGAAGGAAAACCCTAGAAGATCCTGCAGTCTTTTCACGGAGGAGTAGATGTCAACTAAGCAATATGTTAGTGTGTGGGCCGATCACCCGCACTGCGATTGCTTCTTACTTGGAAGAGCTAGTCTCCTAATATAGTGATATAGTATCGGGGGCAGATTTAGAGCTGGGAAGTGTACGCCAAACTTGTGGCGATAAAGAAGTGACAATTGCAACACAGCCTTATGGAGGTGCTCGGCTTTCAGCAACCTCTAAGAGATGGTCAGTATATGATTCTGAGAAAGAGGACAAGGCTGCTGACCGTGGTCTCGATTATTGAGAGATACTCCTGAGGTAATTTATCTCTCATTTCACGGGGGATTGAGCGTGTTACGCGAATATAAGGGATATCTCCGGACATGATCATCCTGAAGCGCGGGAAGTCAGATCATAATTTCCATCCGATACCCAGCCTAGGGGGTTTACCGATGAAAGTCCGCAACACTGACTGGAAGGCGCATTAAGAAAGCCCCTAGATAGCAGAGACCGACAGAGTCCACAAGTCGGGGCCATTGCAGATTCTTCCCGCCAAATCTAACGAGGTCTGGCTCCTCCTGGTCCGCGGTGGGCTGTGAGCTGAAGAACTCGGTCTCCTCGTCACCTTCGGATGGATTTTTTATCTTTTCCGAATAGGTTTCCAGACGAAGAGCCCACAGGTCACGGACAACATGCTGTACTTCATCGTCAGCCGACAGCATAGAATGAGATTGAACCAATGAGGGCGCACCTCAAGTTGCGCCGGAAACCCTCGGCTTTGCACCAAGGCATGGCACTGCTTCCAGAGGATCAACTGATACACCTGCAGGAAGAGGCTGTAAGCCTGTCGGCCACGATATGCTGACAGAAATAAATTAACACCTGATGCGAGTCCAGCCGGATTGGCGACGCTTACTCTTTGCACCCTTTTCGGTCGCGGCCTTCTTCACCCGATTCGTCTTGCCCTGTGTCCCAAAGTCGTCGGGCTCTTCTTCAACTTGCCGGCCCTTGTTTTATTTCGTAAGCATGGCTCTTCCCTTTTTGCTTCTGCTCTTCTGCCTGCTCAGCGGGCGAGGTTAAAATAGGCTACAAGCATACCTCTTGCTGATGACCCCGTCGGCAGAACCAGAGCCCATTGTCGAGATAATACCGAGTTTCACGGCACCCTTCCTGCCCACAGACCCCTCTGGTAGTGTACTCCATGGAGGGCACAGGTGTTCTTCATTCTTAAATCATTCAGATACTAAGTATAGAGGTCATGGGCCTTTTCCTTGTGGTGTGAGGTACGTTTGTGGTTGAGTGCTGAATGCGGGCAGAATTGAAGTTGTTTTTGGAAATTTTCTTTTTCTGCCCTCACCTTCCCATGGCATGGAAAATCATTGCAAACATATTTATCACCTCGCGAAAATTTACCTAACGTAGAGTACTGTCGGCTCACGGTCCCCAAGGATGGATTTATATGTTAATTTATAGAACCGTTACATATATTAACCTGTCTCTTGTTTCGGCCATGCTCTTTTTTGGGCTTTTATTCTGTCCCCATTTCCAATCTGTATAGAAGCTTAAACCTACGAGATTGTGTTTTTACAAGTCGGAAAAAGGAATAGAACCAAAAACAAAAGAAAAAAGAGCCACTTGTGAATTAGGTAGAGCCATTGAAATTTTTAGAATTCGTCAAAATATCGTGAAAGCTGGACTCAGACTGGTTCCCGTCATGACAAAGCACGCTTTACGATGCCAACTAAACGCAACCCTCTCCAAGGCTCAGTCGTCAATATAAGAGCCAGGTTGGATCTCGCCCAAAATGTGACATCCTTCACAACCCAAGGGTCAAACTTCAAGGATACCCTGGAACACACAAGGGCCAACGGAGCACAAATAGAGTCCATGACTATGGTAATTTAGTTACCCTTGGGGGCTTCCTTGACATCCATGGCGCACTCCTCACCCATGGCAGCGAGGATGATAACGTCTAGCTTCGTTAGTAACGACCGGATGGTGAGCACGGTGTGGGATACTTACTGCAGTCCTTGCCATCGTCAAACATGGTCTGGATCCTGTCACCGAGCTCGCCGTCGGGGAGCTTGACGTCGTCCTTGCTGTCGCCGTTTTCATTCATCAGGTTCAGGAAACCATCGTCGATATTAAGCTATGCGAAATCAACAAAAATTATCCTGGCCAGGCAGGGATCGACTTTTCGGGCTACTTACAAGCTGGTATTCGGTACGCTTGACGAAGGGAACATCCATGTTGTGGGTGGAGGGGGACAGATCTTCAAGCTTCTTGCCGGTGAAGATGTCGATAGCGACCAGGTGAACCTTGGCGTGACCGTGCTTTCCGGTCTTGGAGGTGGACATGTCGACAATCTTGCAAGGGCGGCCCTTGATGACAACGTGACCGTTCTTCCTCAGGGCAGAGCACTGCTGGGGGTAGGTGGTGGAGGCACCGGCATCACCACCGGCTTCGGCATCGAAAGCCTATGTAGAAAACGCTGTCAATCAAACTGTAGTAAAACGGGTCGAGAGATGCGCAGATGCATTTACGTGCAAGAACGAGGCGAGGGGGTCATGATGCGGGGCTGAGAAATACTCTACAGCCCCGGTACATCAATACGGGGTGGAGAGAAGTGTAGAGGAGCGAATACATACGTGCTCAGCTTCAGACATGGCGATAGATTTGGGTGGGGTGAATGACAAGAGGGGGGACAGAGACTTGGAGGGAGAGCGAGAGAGGAGAAAGGAATTGAGTCTTGAAGAGAGGGGAAAAGAGAGAAAAATTAGAAGGTTAAAAGAGACGAAGAGAGAAAATGAGCAACCGCCGAATGAAAAAAAAGTATTTTGTTGTGGCGGGGTGTTGATGTCGCTAGACCCTAACAGGGTTAGTCTCGGATATGCTGTGTCTCTGGCCTGCTCGGAACGCCGTAGCATCTCGACCCGTCAATAGTTGTCCCTTTATTGGTGTACCTCATGGGTGTCAATGGAAACTACCTACAAAGGTCTCCTGAACATTAGACCTTATACCAACCTCTCAATTCTTTCTCTCCCTCCTTTCTTCTCCACCCTCTCCTCCCCGGAAGCTCATATTCACTGTCTAACTGTGCTGTTCTCTCCTTACCACGAGTGTGATTAAATTAACTGTTGAAACGGCCTTTCTCAATGAGGCCGGTGGGCTATAGCTCCATACCTGAACGCCTCTCCAGGCTGGCCTTTCACCATGTGGCTTGACCGCATGTCCGGTCATTCGACCCCTCCAGGACCTCCGATTGATAGTCGCAGCAATTCCCCCCTTCCTCGACGGCCAACTTCTCGTCTATCCCCCTATGCACAAAATAGTCGCCCGCACCCGAGTCGACCTGGATCGTCCTTGTCTAACTTACTCACTCCTAGCGACTCCACTACATCTCTCTCCGCCACCCCACGTGGCGATGACTCGGTCTTGAAACAATCTCCTGCGAGGGCTCGCCCATCTAACGTGGCGGATCCACTTGATGTACTAAATGATGTTATTGGAAAACGAAAGGAAACGCTGGCGGAAACAGAATCGCCTGTCTTATCTTCTACACCTGAAGCAAAGCCGTCGCAGTTGGTGGCGGAGATCGACTTTGGAGACCTCAGCCTCGAGGAGTTTGTCACGAAACCAGATGAGCCGAGGAGGGTTTCAAATAGCGACATTGGAGCGCAAACAATCCAACAATTCGAGAAGGAAAGAGATAAATTTCAGGATCTACATTCGGCTATCACAGGCTGTGACGATGTTTCTAAATCGGTAGAAAAGTACCTGAATGACTTTCAGACTGAACTCGGTGCAGTTTCGGCGGAGATAGAGACTCTCCAGACTCGATCCATACAGCTGAATGCAATGTTGGCGAATCGACGCAATGTAGAACAACTTCTAGGGCCCGCTGTGGAGGAAATTTGCATCGCTCCAAAAGCTGTTCGACTAATTGTAGAGGGGCCGATCGATGAGAATTGGGTCAAAGCGCTGAATGAGATCGAGAGCCGGGCAGCGACTATCGAAGCCAAAGCTTCTAGCCCCAGTAGCACAAAGTCGGTCGAGGATGTTCGTCCACTGCTGAGTGATATCAAGAAAAAAGCAGTTGAGAGGATCCGGGACTATCTGGTCTCACAGATCAGAGCCCTGCGATCCCCAAATATCAACGCCCAGATTATCCAACAGCAGCGCTTGGTGAAATTCAAGGATTTGTATAGTTACCTGTTCAAAGCACATCCCACCCTTGCGGGGGAGATCGCGCAGGCTTACATCAACACGATGCGGTGGTATTATCTATCTCATTTTACTCGCTATCTTCAAGCGCTTGAGAAGATCAAGGTGTACCCTAGCGATCGAAATGAGGTTCTGGGGGGAGATCCCTCGGCTCCAAAATCAGGTGAGCTTTGTTTTTGTTTTTGTTCTTTTTTCTCTCGCTACGCTCCTGAATCTGACCTCGCTATAGGAAATCTTGTCCCCGGTGGGCGGACTGGTCCCGCGGCTCATGACCCATTCTCGCTCGGCAGGAGAATTGAAGTCTTGCGAACTAGTAATCACATGGCCATATCTTCATATGTGGCAGAGGAAGACACGTCTTTCCACGGAATTGAGGTCCCTTTCAGGAACTTCAACCTGGCTTTGATGGACAATATCTCTGCCGAATACTCCTTTATGACGGAGATGTTCTCCACTTTGTCCTTCCAGCAGATATCCCGCAAAGCTACTGAAATATTCGACCCGGTCTTTGCTCTTGGGCAAGGACTGACCAAGCAGTTAGTCGAGCACACGACCGACTCTCTAGGCGTCCTAATTTGCGTACGATTGAATCAGCAGGCCGCCTTTGAACTCCAACGTCGAAAAGTACCCGTTGCTGACGCGTACATCAATGGTATAAACATGCGGCTCTGGCCGAGGTTCCAAGTGATCATGGACCTTCACTGCGAGTCTTTAAAGCGGGTAGCTTCGCACACAGGCCGAAGTGCCGTATCCGCCCTATCTCTGACTGGCGGGGATGACTTGAACCAATCCTCAGCGCCCCACTTCCTGACGCAGAGGTTCGGTCAGTTGTTGCATGGCATCTTGGTGCTGAGTAGTGAAGCTGGAGACGACGAGCCGGTGTCTAATAGTTTGTCGCGGTTAGCAGCCGAGTTCGATAACCTTTTGGCGAAACTGAGCAGGATCGGCGGCGATGCGAAGAGACGGGAAAGATTCCTATTTAATAATTATTCTTTGATTTTGACTATCATCAGCGTATGTTAGTTGCCTCCTCTAGGAACCGCTTTCACTGACGTTCAGACAGGATACCCATGGCAAATTAGCAACCGAACAGAAAGGGGTAAGTGCTAGACTCTTCGCCCTCTACCCAAGCAGTTAGACTAATGCTATCTAGCATTTGGACGACATGTTGAAGAATGTTGGAAAGCGTGGTTAGAATCCTCGACTCTAGTTTAAACACTCGGAAGATACATAAGATACTATAGACATACAGCTTCTACGAATCGCTTCAAACTCCTGATGTAGATAGCATAGAGATTTTGCGCATGCACTCTAGTACATGAAGTGTGACCAAGAATGACTTAGTTCTCATATAATGCATGCATGTATTAATGCAGCGATTGTGAGGTCGCCTGAACCTTTACCCAATCTAGAACACAGAAACACCTTTCCTTATCGCCGCGCTCTTATCGCCGGACTCCACGTGGGGAATTGCGCCATTGACAACAACTCCCCCTAGTTGAAAAAAGACCTGGTCAATGAGCCCCCTACATTAATCCAACTCCATATCTCAGAGAAACATGGCTACGCGTACAAGTTTCTCTCTTTCGAGGAAACTCCTCCACCCGCGGCGCAGCTTCTCCAGCACGCGAACAGCCAATGCAGATGTCACCCATGCGGTAAACACCTCTCCTTGACCCTTCTCAGCGCACTTTACAAAACAAACGCTCATTCACACAAAACATAAAGGTCATTGGTGCGGGGGTGGTCGGTCTGGCAGTGGCCCGGGAATTGGCATCGCGAGAGGGCACATCAACCATTCTTCTGGAGAGACATGATGCGCCAGGCACGGAGACCAGTAGTCGCAATTCGGAGGTGAGTAGTACCACCACCCTGTTTGCATTGAATCAACGCATTAATTACAATTGGCTTTTTCTTCTCTTGCACACAGGTCATCCATGCCGGGTTATACTACGGACCCGATACCTTGAAGACCAAGCTCTGCATCAAAGGAAAAGAGATGATGTACGATCTATGCGCGCGCAACGGACTCCCTCACCGCAACACGAAGAAATGGATCGTCGCGCAGACAGAAGAGCAATGGGCCGCGGCGCTCAAGACCCACGAGCACGCACAGAACATAGGCGTACCGACGCGACTCATCGGTCGCGCAGAGGCTCAGGCTCTCGAACCGGAGGTGCAGGCTCTCGCGGGGATTGTCGAGAGTCCGACTACGGGCATCGTAGACAGCCACTCCCTGATGACCTATCTGCAGGGCGACTTCGAGGACCGTGGCGGCGACTGTGCGTTTCTGACGAACGTAACGGGAATCGAGGCGCTGGATGGAGGAAAGAACGGATACCGGATCACGGCGGTCACGAGCGACGGGACTGAGACGTCCATTACAGCTGAGACGCTGATCAACAGCGCCGGGAACTACGCGTGCTATATCAATAACATGATCCTCCCGCCCGAGCGACACCGCACCCCGTACTACGCCAAGGGAACGTACTTCTCGTACGCGGCGTCGTTCCCGAAAACCTCCGTGCTGGTCTATCCAGCCACACTGCCCGGCCACGGCGGCCTGGGCACCCATCTGACTCTAGACCTCGGCGGCCGCATACGATTCGGCCCCGACGTGGAATGGGTGGACGACCCGAACGACCTCGTGCCCAGTCCCGCCCGGCTGGCGCAGGCGCTCCCGGAGATCAAGGCCTATCTACCCAACGTGGACCCGGAGGCAATCAGTCTAGACTACTGTGGGATCCGGCCCAAGCTGGGGCGCGGTGGGGCCGTGAACACCGGCAAAGGGTTCCAGGATTTCATCATCCAGGAAGAGGAAGGCTTCCCTGGGTTCATTAACCTGCTAGGAATCGAGAGTCCAGGGCTGACGAGTTCGTTGGCGATCGGGGAAATGGTGGAAGGCCTGCTGTATGGGAGGAAATGATGATCGTCCCACATGCATGGAAGGATTCTTAAACAATTTTCATCGTGTATATACCCGCTGTACATAAACATCGCATGCATATGCATATGCAAACCATAGACGAGAACTATTTTTGATACATCATATTCTTCAGTATTATTAAGTTTCATACAGCCCTAACAAGGAAGGCCCACTTCTCCCGAGGTCTATACAAAAAGAACAGGGGAATCATCTGCGAGACGAAGAAAAACCGTTACTCATCGCTCCACCTTATTAAGCTTGTCCGGATGCTTAATTGGTAGCCAAGCGGAAGCAATTCGCCATCCAACCTCTGGTTACGTCAACACTTTTACCATTTCCGGGCCTGGTTTTCCAATCCGATGTGGCCCCCCCCCCCATTGTCCTGGGATTGTCGTGTTGGTTCTGGACCAGGTTCGAGCTGGGTTCTGTCTACTTGCGGGGTTCGTTGAATGGGTGCTATATATTCTCCGGAAGGATGTACTCGCCACGAAAAGTGCTTCTAGGTTACTTGTCGATTTACATTCATTTTATTCCGCAGGACATTCCTCTTTCTCTACTGGAATCAATCACTCATTATTTGATTTCCTTCTCTTGGGTACTTTATACATATGAATATACATTACAGAACAATGCCGCATTCAACCCAAGCATCGGATCGTCATGTATCAAAACCCTCCTACCGTCATCAACCATACTCTCAACCCCAGCCATCCAAGAAGTCGAAGTCCCAATCAAAGCCTAAACAGCCCAATACATACAACAGATGTTGGGATTGGATTGTTACAGATGGTAACTGTCACTACGCAAAGAACCGTTCGACATTCCGAAGCTACCGACGAGCGCCGGGCAAGATCGCCGGCTCACGTGTCCTTGGTGTAGGGAGTGTTGAACTGCGTGTCCGACGACGCTCGGGCGATGGAGCGATCAACACACTTGTGCTCGATAACGTATTGCATATGCCGAATGCGCGGTGCAATGGGTTGAGCCTGCCAAAATACCGTGAAACACACCCATTAGCGGGGGTAGATGGCGAAGGTGACCACGTCGAAGCGCGGAGTGACGATGGATCGGAGCCGGAGTGGTATGCAGAAAGGTACCATGGACTACCAAGAGTTGTGCTTGCGGGCGAACCTCAGGGAGAATCACATCTGAGCGATGATGGTCATAATATGCTTTCTGTGATGGCTTCGAATGAGGAGATGGAAAAACTTTGGCAGAGGGTGCAGAATAGAAGTTGGGTGGCGTAGGGTGATTCTGGTGCAAGGTGATCTGTGACATGGTTTACAACATTTTCGTGGCTGTTCAGTGTATATTTGATCGTTTGCGTGAGGGTATTTGGTATGTGGTCATTGGCGTAGAACTGTGAGGTCTTCCATGTGTATACCACCCGTATGTGGCTGAATATAAATCATCCCGTTCAGATTGGTATTCGATGCGAAACTGATAGGGTCCTAATGTCCCACCGCGCATTCATGTCCTCGTTTTACACCCTCGTGGTCAAGCGCTCGAGGCGGCTTCCCAGGTTGCTTCTGCAGGTCACTTGGAATGTTGGAAGGATCATCGTGCGATAATTTAGAAAATGGCCGACCCTCGTAGGCTCAATCCATATCCATCAGGACGTCGCTCATTATATAGAGCACGTGGGAAAATTTGCGAACGCTCCATTTCCCAGTATCCTTCAATAGGCCCGCATAGTCCAGCAAAATTCGTCGCGCCGAGTGATAGCCACTCTGAAAAGGGACTCCACGGAAATACACCGTGCCCCCTTTTCGAATGAAATTCACCGCTGCCTCATCCGATTCTGTACACGATTGAGCCCCATTAGGCTCCATAAAGCTGGTGAACCCCTCGCCACACAGACCATTCCAGTCTATATCATCCAGGATGTCGATTGGTGTGCCTCCAGTTTGTGGCTCAGTGCTATTGGGCACCATGTATATGTACAGACCCAAGACGAGAGCTGCGGAAAAGAGTGAAAAGACTGAATGAAACGTAATGTGATCCGATGCTTTGCGATGGATCATAATTTTGTACACGTGGGCTGCGTGGAGACAAGCCCTCCGGGCGGCTGGTGTTTGCGACCAAGCAGCAATATCGTCGAGGGCTTTCCGCGCGGGGCCTGGACCTGCACGGCCTGCAGCCAGTTCAAAGATTTGGATATCTGCTGTGAGATTCATACACATGTTGTGCCACAGGATACTAGCGTTGGGGTCCAGGTGCCCTAGGATATAACTGTATTTGCTAGCAATCTGGATTTGAAGGGTTGAAAGACATCTGGCACGGCCATCCATGGCGTAGGTGTGACATGGAGCGAATGGGTAACTTGCGCGATGTGATAGGAGGCGGTGATATGCCTCTGAAAGCTTCAGCTGCACCATTGATAATACTGCATGCATGCCAAGATTATCGACATGGCTGTCCAGTGATGCGATCTCTACATTTTCTGATGGAGACAGCACAGTGGGCATTAACATGCACTGCCCCCCACGAATCAACTGTACCCACTGCGCTGAACTCTTGGCTTCAAAGAGCACTTCACTACATGGTAAAATGAGCTGAATAGTATCGGAGACGATGATGGGGCTGGTGGACAGGAATGATGATAGCCAGGCATCTAGAACGAGTAGTGCAATAATTAATCTGCTTGGTCAGTGAGGGTCTGGGCTTCATTATATCGGGCGACGAACCGTTTAACAGATTCTACTTTGCTCCAGGCTTTCCATCTCAGAACATTGTCTGTAATACTTTCAAACATACTTTTGTCGAGCAATTGGCCTTCGGTAGCCGAAAACAAACCGTGCCTTTGTGCGACCTATACTGAGTTAGTGTGAAATGTTGTGGATAGTCTTCCATATTTACCGATATGAGGTTGACGTAGAGCATCTGGCTTTTCTCGATATGGCCCTTCTCCTATATAATAATTAGCAACCAGTAGCATTTCGGCTGAGACACTACGTACCCCAGTCAGAGCAGCTAGATTTAGAAAAAGAACGGAGGCTGCAAATGCCGACATAGTGTTTCCCGAGCTTTCAGTGTCAGCAGCACACATGGCCAACTCAGCTGTGAGTTTCTCCAGGACGAACTGGTAGAAAAGAATATCAGTAAATCAATGGTCCGCGGGGTTTCTCTAGACGACATCTTACAGTGAAATTCTTGGAGACGAAAGAAGCTGTACCCTGTGTTCCTAGGAGAGTCATCCCAATTAGGCACATGACATAGAGTACCGAAGGACTGGTGTTTTTGGCGGAAAAGGTCGGGAGATGGATAAAGGGCACGAGCGGATGAAAGCTGCGAAAATATAGGTCAAGTGCCATGTCTAAAATTTCAGCGGGAGGAAACTGAGCAAGGGCGATCAGTGCCGAGTCGTAAGCTGGAGGAGCGTTGGAAGTACGATTTCGTTGGCTGTAGAGTCGCATATATCCGAACGTGGCATGCAGGTGTCTTCTGCAGTCCTCATCAAGGCCGTACCTTGACTTCTGCAGCAAGACTGGCGGACTGCTTGGCGATTGCCCAGGGTGCACCGCAAAAATATTATCTATGCTGCCGTACGCCACATCCCGCCAGATATCATTGATAAGGCGCCCGGTGCTATTCGATGGACCTAACCAACAGTTCTGAACTTTGGCAAATCTGTCATTCGGAATAGCTGCACCGGCTTTTGTATCGCCTATATCAGTGGAGGGTCCATCATGTCGTTCGGGGCGCTGTGTTGCGGAGGTACCCACGTTCTCCTCAATCAGACCAATGTTAGAGTCATGTCCAAAATCCAAAGAACCAGGATATGAAGTTGCGTCAGAAGGATTCAACCATAGCTGAAGTGATTCGTTTGGCATAGGATCAAACACAGGCCCTCTGTAGGACGGTTGGTATACCGTTGGTTCCTCGAAGTACGTTTGTTGGCCAACCACGAGCATTGCATTGGCATCAGGCTCGGTGCGCGCATGCTGAGACGAGACGTCCGCCAAAAAGTCCAGGGATGATGGGAGACCTGCTGCCGCAGCGATGGGCATGTCGCGAGGCTCTACCGCTTGCGTTTGAATTGAAGTAGAATAAACGCCGGCATCCGCATGAGGAAAGAATTGTTGACCATTTTCAGGGATATTGGACGGTTGATAGTGGAAGTCCTGGGCAGATGCCGCGGAGGGCTGTTGGTTGAGTGCCTTGGTGGTCGTGTGCGCAGCTGGACCGTTATGGCCCTTAGCATGCCGGCTTAGAACATCGCTGGAGTTTGTAAGTCACAGCCGCTTACCCGTCGAATGCAACCTGTGTGTGTGCAGGCTCTCCAATGTTTAAAGAATGCTGATCGCGTTGGAAGCTGCATACCTTCGAGAGAACCGTTTATGGCAGACATTGCATTCGTAGGGCTTTTCTTTCGTATCTGTGATATATTAGAAACCATCCCGGAGAAAAGTCCGGGCGAGATTAACTGACGGGACCGTTCATGGCGCTTGAAATGCTCTGTCTTTTTGAAGCGACGGTCACAGATGTTGCACTTCTTTATAACCATGATGGAGCTTGCGAGGTTGCAAGGACAGATAGTTGATTGAGGTCTCCGACCGTGAGAGCATTGCACTCAGTCAAAGCAGTCAGGATAAAAAAGGAGTCGACCGACGACAACGCTTGAGGTGTAGAAGAAGTAGAAGGGAGAAAAAGGATGGGGCATGCGGGATGGGGGATCATTTTGGGTTTCTAACCTCTGCTAGTAACAATACCTACTGGTAAGTAAGTTGGATACATACATTACTACCAATACCCAATGACTGGATATCATGTCGGTAATGAATAGTATGTAGTATTGCTGACTATCAGTGCAGAAATCCGACTCCAGTAGCCCATATCGTTCTCAGTAATGTACTCATTCAAGATGTACATGAGTGATATGATTGTTGAATATAGATGTTGTTGCAACCCGAATAGTACTTACTACTACATACATTTACACCTATAGCCAGCTGCAGAAGTGGTGCCCCATTTTAGTACCCCGTGGGGCAGCTAGATCGATGTAGTACCTGGTTATCAACGCCCCCGACCAAAAGCAATTACAGGTACTGTAACTAGTCACTCCTTTTGAGATTGTCAGTAACTGACTTCAGATTCCCATCGATGAAGTATTCAGGTATATTGCCTGTATTCAGCCCTGATAAATTACAACCTTCTTGGCGGCAAGCGGGGGAAAAGTCGGCATTTGCGGAGCCGTTCAATTGCCGACCCCGGTCTCCCGCAGCCCTATTTGCTAGTACGAGTATAACCACTTATACTACGACTTTGGAGCGTCCTCTTGACTATTGATATTCATGCTCAAATTCAGGATAGGTAAGGAGCAACATATATTGGTCGTGAATTGTGTTAGTATCGAGACTTTTCTCAACTATTACTATCCTCTAATGATCGACACAGATAGTATGATCTGGATTATCTATGGCCCTGACCCAGACATGGAATTGATCCAAGCTATGACACGCTAGACGTATTGGCAAGACTCGCGATACCTAAGAGAGTTAATAAAACAATAGACTCAGGGTATCCTAAGCTAGAATAAGCCTGCCGGAAGCCCCGGCCCACGAACGGCTGGATGACGCTCCGTTCTCCAATCACAAGCAAGCGTCAGGACTACACTGAGACTGCCAAGTTGCAGAAAACGTTTACTTTGTCGCAAGTCACATTTATCAACAGCTTAAATACCCCAAGTCAACCGTGTGGGATTTCACAGTCTAATCGAGAATCCTGAAGAGAAAAGATGGCGTCGGTTGCTGCAGTACTAGACAACAACTCCGGCATCACTCGTCGCTATGGATCAGGCTTGGTCGCTGTCTTTGGTAAGTTACAGATGCTTGCTGCCCTTGGTCTTGTGGCGAGCAAGCTTTCATACATCGTCATTTGTCAGGATGGTCTTTGCAAGTATTTCTACTGAACACACACACAAGTCGGTGCAACTAGCGGAATAGGGGAATCGACGGCCCGCGCATTTATACGCAACACAGACGCCTCTCGTGCCTACCTCATCGGCAGAGATGAGACAAGAGCAATGCACATTATCAAAGAATTGCACCAGATAAAACCGGAGTCACAAGTCACTTTCATCAAATCAGACGTCTCTTTGTTGCGTGAAGTAGATGATGCGTGCAGTGCCATTCAGCAGAAGGAGGATAAAGTCAATATCTTATTTCTGAGCCCAGGGGTAGGGACAACGAACGGTCGTGACGGTATGATGATCCTACTTCGAATCAAGCCACTAGCCTGATACTGATCCTTCTTATCTGAAGAGACCGACGAAGGCCTAGACAGAAAACTGAACCTTCACTATTATTCCCGGATGCGATTTGTGACAAATCTCCTACCGCAACTTATGAAGGCTGGTGACAGCAGTGAGCATGGGCTGCCACTGTCTCGCGTAGTCTCGGTTCTTGAAGCCGGAGGCGAAGCTGCTCTTCAACTTGATGATCTCTCTCTTAAAACCCACTATTCCCTTCGTAATTGCGCAAAACATGCAATCACCATGAACTCTGTTTCAATGGAGCATCTAGCTGCATCTTACCCACAGATCTCGTTTATCCACTCTTTCCCAGGAGTTGTTAAGACACGCCTTGACCGAAACTTCAGCACTGCTACTAAGTATGCTATTACCGCCTTGATGGTTCTCGCCAGGCCATGGGTGACTGATTTAAACGAAAGTGGAGAAAGACATCTGTATGCCGCGTCGAGTCCACGGTTTCCTCCACAGAAATACAAGGATGGTATACCTGATGCTGCGGAAGGTTCTGATGGTCACCCTGGGAGTGGGTTTTATCGACTTAGTTCAACCGGGTCGACATATAAACCCAGCAAGATCATGGAGGTTTACCGTGCGGAAGGGGTGAGAAGTTCGATCTGGCAACATACACTTGATGTCTTTGCAAAGGTCCGTGGTGCACCGGACGTGGAGCCATGATGCTAGACTGTACTTCATAGGACGGTCTTCACTGTTACTGCAGTGAGGAACATGTAAATCTGCAACATCCGATTACATAAAGTTCAGTTTCAGTTTCTTTAGCCCTCGTCTAGCTCTCCAATAGTTGCTGTGCACAATGATGTCTGGACACCCCTTGATGACCCATGACCACTTCTGAGCGAACACCTCCGAGACTTCCCAATTCTGCGGAAGCCAGGGATCACCCCAGACCATGACCCCGATATCGCCAGTGGTGGAATCCATCATATCAGTACACAGCTCGCAATCGTTGAATGACTCATCGGCCATGACAAGATTATCCCGCATTTGCGGAAACGGGAAACAATCTAGCCAGGGATGATGAGGTATTAAGGATTGAATAGCGGTGGGAAGGAGAGCAGCTGGGATACTTTCCTTATCGCGGGGTCCCGGCATATCAGTACTGAAGGGAGAGATGACGTCCTCTCCCATTGCATCCATGCGTAATCCAAGGGCTGCCATATTATCCAAAAAGGCACGGAGAACGTTGAATTTGCTCAAGGTAAATAGATGGTCGAGGCATGGATCTGCGGCATAGTATCTCTCATACGCTTCTGTGTTGAAGCGCATCATCATTGCTACCGCCTCTGAGAGCGTTGTGGGTCGAGGCATCTGTTGCGGCCCTTTGACTTGGTCTGGCCGTGGAAGTATTAATGCATAGCGCCGCGAGTCTGCCTTGTCATTCTTGGACTGCAAAAGAAGAGCCTTTTGCCGGTCATGGCGCTTTCTTGCTCCTATAAAGGAGTTAGTTTGTGCCGAGGTTGGGTTGTGAAAATAATCAACAAAGGTCGTAAGCTACAGAATAATAAAATGCCGTGATAGAGAGTCAAGGTGTGCGTCCAGGGGACCTACGCAAAGCACGTTGGTTCAGCTTATTCTGCAGCCTCTTCCGAAGAGCAGGATCTGTGATCCCAGTCCAGTCGTCGTCCTGCCGAGGGATCCGCTCTTGCGAGGACACTAGACCAAGCTCGAGGGGTGATGTGGAGACAGTATCCTTCATGTTGTCCTGTGAATGGGTAGTAATCATCACACATATACTTGCAAGAGGATGGAGTACGGACTTCGGAGAACAGAGAAGAACGAAAGGCGCGGAAAGAGTAAAGCTGCAGAAGGTTCCGATTGCGACTCCACTCGACTGCCTGGTGGCAAAGGTGGATCACTAAACTCAGCACCATGTTTATGAAACGGATCCTTTATCCACATCCACCGTCTGTGGGATCCATGGATGCAGCCGGATGACAGATTTTCAGCCAATCACCGACAATTGGGTATATAGTTCGGGTGAATGAAGTAACTAAGTATATACTCCTACACCCTGCACTGCAATAGTCGCTAAAAACTGTGTCTTTGCGGAAAGATTTTGGATGTTGAGTGAGGAGCTGGTGAAGCAGAATTTCGACTTTCAGATCCACACGGGACATGCAAAGCCCTGTACAATGCCAGCGTAGTTAAGGCTAGACAGAATACTGAGGATTTAACAAAGACTTCATTTCTTGCAAATCAAGGCTTAAGGCATTGAAGAAATATACAAACATAAAATAGCAATACATAATTAATATTACGCACCTATTACACACACACACACACACACACACACAAAAGAAAGTGCAATCTCTAGAAAGTTATCTCGCTATGTCCTGAAAGCTCGCCCTGGACCCATCTAAACAATTCTTCCTGAAGATCATGATTCTGGCTCAGCTTAGAACCAGATTCCGCCTTCCCAATAGGCCCATAGTACTGTCCGTGTTTCGCGTCGGGGCTTACAGCCGCGAAGATTTGTGAAAGGGCGCCCTTCTCTACTGGCGTTCCAGCCAAGAAAATCGCGGCATAGAGGAAGGGTTTAAGAAAAGCCCCCGTTGAGGCATGGTGGAGGTTCGTGGCTACCATACCCGGGTGGACCGGGATAATCTTGACTCCCGCTTCCCTCTCCGCCAAAGCTCTCGCATAGTGAAGATTGGCGAGTTTGGACGTCGTGTATCGCTCAGTAGTATGTCGGTTTGGGGCGCTCGTTCGAAGCTCATCAAAGTTGTAAACGTCAGTGGGCGCGCGGGCGTGGGCGGCAGAAGAGAGCATGACCATACGGGTCTGGCTATTCACTTTTGCCGTCTTGCGCAGAGTTGGTAGAAGCAGCTGGGTCAATAAGGCTGGGCCCAGGACATTGGTGCCGAATTGGATCTCGTATCCGTCCTTGGTGACATCCTCTGGGGTCATCATGATGCCGGCATTGTTGATCAGAATGTCCAAGCGGGACTCTTGACGAAGGAAGTCTGCCGCTGCTGCTTTGACGCTTTCAAACGATGCAAGGTCGAGCTGTAAGAAACGGATGTTGGTGGACTTTGGATTGTGCTGTTTTAGCTCTGCAATGGCTTGTTCAGCCTTGGGTTGGGATCGGGCGGCGAGATAGATAGTAGCCGGGTTATGTTGGCTGAGCTGGCGAATGGTTTCATAACCAAGACCCACGTTGCCTCCAGTGACGATTATAACCTGGCCGTGGAGATCAGGAATGTCCTGACTGCTGAATGTAGGCATGATAGGGTTGACTCGGCACTGCGCTGGGAGTTTGTCGTGGGAAAGTAACGTAGGTTAAGCTAAAGAACAAGTGTGGTACAATGAGAAGAAACCGAAGGTTGATGATTAGGAGACACAGGTCTGGCGACAAGAGTTTTCCTTTAGAGCCACTACCTGACTCCTTTGGCCGTGCTTCATTATATAGGCACAGAGTGCCCTCTAGCCAGAATCTGGCCAGAAACCTTTCGTCAAAATCCGACCGGTAAATTACTTTCTGCATCAACATCATCTAGTATAGTTGCGCAGCGGATATGATGATTGGTTGAAATTGTGTCATCCAACTACTAGTACATCCATGGATCATGGATGGTATCCACTATCAGGTATTCGCTCATTGATTATTGGATGAGAAGGTATGGATCCACCAGTTAGTATTGGATTGATGTTACTCGAATTTCATCAACGATTGGTTGAAAATCCGTCATCCAATGAATGTACAATCGCCCTACCTATGCTTAGCAATTTCAAACAACAGGGTAGACGAAGCTGCATTCGAAATGTCACTGTGGCGATGCAGATAATTTTGGCTAGCTGTGTTACTGGTGATGATGATGCCAAAGGCAAAGTTCGTAGGGCATTGCTGTTATTCTGATCAATGACAGTCTCTGGCTTCTCGGAGTAAAGCTGTAAACAAGCCTGGCTAACCTCTAAATAGTGCTATCATACTTGACTTACTATACGGATTACCTCCCGCCAAAATACCCTCTGGTAAGCCTCATATAAATAGTGATGAGGAGAATATCTGCAAGTTGGTTATTGGTGTTATTGTGTAAACTCATTGGATTAAATTCATCATTAGGGTCAACGTGTCACATGAGCTCACACGACTGTCAAACAAACGGCCCCAACTCTTGGATACCCACGGAGATAGGGCCGTCGAAAGCATCTAGACTCGATATTGTATCTGAGAGTGTCCAAGTGACTGTAGTACTAAGATCGTGGGGCAAGAGCTGTCTGTCTAGATCGCGTCTCGACTATAGGGTCGTGTAATTTGGCAAAGATATGGAGCAATTGATGCGGCGACAAAAGTACCATAACGACAACCAGCATCCACGTTGGGGAAAGTCGATCTCTAACTTAGTGTCTTCTACAGCGTTGACCGTTGACGCTAGTCGCTTTGGCCCAATCAGACTGTCAATTTAAATTAACTATCCGAGTCTAATCGCCCGAATGTTACGCTACACTACGCACCCAAGTGCAGATGGTTCCCTCACATGTTAGGTAATGCTCCACTAAACGCTGCGATTAGTGGCTCTTTGCAAATCAGACCGGCACAAGTGGCAGCGTAAAGTAAAGAAAAGTGGGCACGATGCCACCTTGATCGGTTTATCACACCATTCGAGTTACTCCCCGGTCCACTGACAGGGATATCTCAAGGACGAAGCCTCGGGAAGGGCAGCTGTTTTAAACCACAACGTCCGCCCTCTAAGATGAAAAAAAAAGGTCTTAAATTACGTCTGCTTCAGTTCCATTTGCTTCTTTGCTGAGAAAAATGTCCGAAGAAACGTCCCAAAAAGCTCACTATTCGTCTGTACTCGGAGCAGATCCTTTACTAATCGATGTACGCGTCTCAATGCAGGGTCTTTATGTGGTTGGCTGACATGGCCCAGGATAACTCCTCCGGTGGAGGAAATAATGCTGGCGATGAATACTCGTTCGTTCCCTGTTTCTTCTGGGGGATCAATAAACACCAGCAGAGAGCATAACTAACAGCGCATTGCAGAGCTCTCACCTCGGCAAGTGGGTTGACCTCAATGAGCGCTAGCATTACCGATTATAGGTATGATCTCCTGGTGCTTGCCCCACAAACTCTGAACGTTCGCCTGGCTGAAACGGTGTCTTTGACATGATTAGATATGAGGTATGGGCAGGAAACACATTAGGTAGTGGATTTAAGCTAATCAAATCTTAATAGAATGGACGTCGCTATCACGCTTATCGTGAAGGAATATATATAGGGGTAGATAGCGCATCGCATAACTAACCCATTATACGGATTGCTAAGTCTCCAATAGCCGAATGACGAAGCAGAACAAGACCGCATGGGCCTGGTGCACCATATATATTCTTTATTGCTGGAACGAAAGCTTCATCTGGCGCCTCTTGACGAGAGCCCCAAACGTGTTCTTGATCTGGGCACTGGGACCGGACTTTGGGCCATAGATTTTGCGGAGTAAGGATGCATAATTATCGCCCACGTTCTCATGCGTTAACATCCACACCACCTTATAGCGAACACGAAAATGCTCAGGTTATTGGTAACGATTTAAGCCCTATCCAACCCAAGTGGTATAGAGACTTTTCCTTTCTCCCCTCTCTTCACTACTGTAATTCAAGGAGTGATTCGAGCTTATGCTTTTTCCAGGGTACCGCCAAATTGCCAGTTTGAGATAGACGACTTTGAGTCAGACTGGATGTATAAAACGCCATTCGACTATATCCATGCGCGTGAACTGTCAGGGTGTATAGGCAACGTCGACAAGCTTTTTCGGCAAGTATTTGACCATACAAGCTCTGGCGGCTACTTTGAACTCCAAGCTGTCAGCGCCCATTTCTTATCCGATGATGACACCGCCGAAAAGGCTGTCACTGCTCAAGAGTGGATGAGACAAATCCGTGAGGGTGGTAGAAAGTTCGGTAAGCCGTTGGATGACGCTTGTCATTGGAAACAGAAAATGGAAGATGTTGGCTTTGTGGACGTTACTGAAACGTTACTTAAGGTTAGTAGGCGAACTGTATACCAGTGTATCATTCTAACTCGGCCTGGAATACAGATACCCCTAGGTACTTGGCCTAAGGATGCGAGAATGAAAGAACTCGGGAAGTTTGGGTTCGTTGGGGAGCTGCAAGCCATTGAGGCTTACACGCCTGCACTTTTCACGAGAGTCCTTGGTTGGAGTGAAGAGGAGATGCAAGTATTGATGGATAAGGTTAAGAAGGAACTCTTCGACCGATCACTGCATCTATATCTTCCAGTCCATGTCGTCTATGGTCGGAAGCCTTGATGTCACGACGTCGTAAGTTCTTGATTAATACTGTACATACATACATACATACATACATACATACAGTCGCTTTGACATATATATACACTCGCTGACTTGATATTGGAATCAATGGCCCAAGGAGCATGGCAATCTAGCCAACAAACCTCAACAAACTGTGGCTAGTAAGGAGGATTGACATTATTAACAAGGTAATTAGAGAGTTGTTAGGAGGATGTAAGAAACCCATTGCCGATGTGACTCCCGCTGTCGGAATGGTAACTTACAATCGATACGTGACATTTCCGACGACTATCCGTACCGCTTTTATCTAATCGATCTGATCTTGTTCTTAAGATCGACCTCGAAAGTGTTCCAATGGGTTATACCATTCTACTTATAGGTGCAAGTCGGGACCTAATTCATAGTGAGAGATCAAAGCCCACTCTGAAAATTGACCTAGAACTTGAACTCATCCGATGCAAGGCCCCAAGTTGTCTCCATTCCCCCGCGGGGATGAGGGTTCTTCCCTCCGCGATACTGTAGTTTGAATACAGTGCCATACGCGGTAGTACCCCAAACCTCAGCCGGCGGTGGGCCCGGCTTCGGAAGGCGGCAAAGCGGTCTGCGACGACCAGGCGGATAATCACTTTGTCGGCTTTGTATCTTACCGAAAATGTAGCTGGTTATCGACCATCATGTTGGGGTCGGAGCTGGGGTCGCTACGGTGGCGGCGCCGCTATGGATCTCTTTTTATTGCCCTCTCTTCTTCTTCGTCTTCTTTCTTTTTCCTTTCCTCAGTTTCATACTCACCGCGGTTTTGAGTCCATTGTCAAAGGTTGGTCGGCACGATGTCGCGACCTTTCGTCTCTATGTTCCGCCCAGTAGGGCGGCGGAACTTCTCCGTCTCAACTTCAAGAAGAGCAATTGATAAACTATGCGAATCAGCTCAGGAAGCCGTTAAGGACTTGAAAGGGTCCTCTACTCTCCTGGTTGGAGGATTTGGTTTCTCGGGTGTGCCCAATACTTTGATCAACGCTGTGCGTGATCGTCCGGAGGTCACTGATTTGACCGTGGTCTCCAACAATGCCGGCATGCCGGGTGCTGGTCTTGGTACGTTGCTAAAGGAAGATGGCTGCGACGCCAGCAGGATGTCAGCTAATACCAAACAGGACAGTTGCTGGAATCCGGACAAATCGGTAAAATGATTGCTTCGTTCATTGGTGAAAACAAGGTCTTCGAAAAAATGTATCTGAATGGTGACCTCGCATTGGAACTTACTCCCCAGGGTACCATTGCTGAAAAGTGTGCTGCTGGTGCAGCTGGTGTCCCTGCTTTCTATACTCCCGCGGCTTATGGAACAATTGGTCCGTCTTCTCGAACTTCTTTACCTTTGCTAGGCCAGACGAGCTGACAGTAAACAGTGCAAACTGGTGAACTCCCCGTACGTTACAACAAGGATGGCACTGTGGCGGAAACGTCCAAGCCCAAGGAAACCCGCGAATTTAACGGCAAGAACTACATTTTGGAAGAGTCTATTTTCGGTGACTACGCCCTGGTTAAGGTCCACAAGGCCGATAAGCTTGGTAACTGCCAATTCCGTAAGGCGATGAACAACTTCAACGAGGCCATGGCCAAGAACGCCAAGTACACCATTGTTGAAGCAGACCACATTGTCGAAGTCGGAGAGATCGACCCCGAGGATATCCACCTGCAGGGAATCTACGTCAACAAGGTCATTCAGAGCCAGGGTGAAAAGCAGATTGAAAAGCTCACATTCGCCAAGGACCCTAGCGAGATGCTCAAGGCCGGTGAGTCCGTTCTTGATCTTCTTCCTTTCTTCAACATAATTTCATTTCTCACAATCACCTAGGTTCCGGTGAAGCCACCGCCCGTCGTGAGCGTATCGTCAAGCGTGCTGCCAAGGAATTCCGCGACGGAATGTATGTCAACCTCGGTATTGGAATGCCCCTGATCGCTCCTTCGTATCTCCCTGAAGGCGTGGAGGTTGTCCTCCAGGCCGAGAACGGTATTCTGGGACTTGGTGGTTACCCTAAGCCCGGTGAGGAAGACCCTGACCTCATCAACCCTGGTAAGGAGACTGTCACTCTGGCCAAGGGTGCTTCTGTGTTCGGCTCTCAAGAGAGCTTTGGTATGATTCGCTCTGGACGTATTGATCTTACTATGCTTGGTGCTCTCCAAGTGAGCCAGTATGGAGGTAGGTCTTCGACTTTGTTCCTGAATTCTCCGTCACCCTCTAACAGCTGCCCATAGATCTCGCGAACTTTATGCTTCCTGGTAAGGTGAAGGGTGTCGGTGGTGCCATGGACTTGGTCGCCAACCCCGAGAAGACCAAGGTTGTTGTGACTATGGAGCACGTCGACAAGAAGGGCAACCCCAAGATCTTGCCTGAGTGCTCTTTCCCCCTGACTGGCCCCCGCTGCGTGTGGAAGATCATCACTGATCTGGCCGTCTTTGAAGTCAGCCCCACTGAGGGTCTGACCCTCGCCGAGCACGCTGAGGGTGTCACTGTTGAGGAGATCCGCAGCAAGACCGCCGCTCCTTTCAAGGTTGCGGATGACTTGAAGCCCATGTTGTAATTATAGATATCCATGCACATATAGAACGTTCAATTGATTTCGGTTTGGCTATGAAGGTGTCTCAATATTATTAATCATTTCCTGCTCTTATGCCGTCGACGCTGGGAAACGGTTGTCCGATTTGTATTTGGCATTCGAAATCAAGTCATCACTCACTGACCCCAGTCGCTATAAGTTATTGGTCTCTGGCTACAACTCAAAGCCATGGGTTCTGAACATGCACGTAGTGCAGGCATGAGGTTATAAAGTTTGACATAAACCTGATACGGAAAAGAGACACGTGGGAGTTATGACAAGAAGCACTTCTACCTCATCGCTCCCGTATCACGACTAGCAAGTGTCTCCTTGTCATACTAGCCCTAATCATCCTGCCAATCAAATGTTTATATAGTCCATGCAATTCAATTCATGCAACAGTTGCCTTCTTCGTTAATCTGCAGCACCGCCGACGCCGACCCTATAGTTTTCTTGTAGGTAGATAGTCTACAATCATTATTTCCATGAAGACCAGAAAACTGTGCCTCAAGTGGCCAGATTCTTTCTTCTCAGAAAGTAAATTTGAGTACCCGATGCACTGACCCTCAACCAATGCAGTGGCGAGGACATATGGTGGACTACTACATCATCGGACCCACTCATGCATGCAGCATGAGCGTCAGGTCGATTCTTTTCCGGAATTCAAGAAAGCTAGTTGACATGAAATATATCCAATACAACGTCGGTATAGCGGCACTTTAAACTTTGGAATAACCAGGCCTGTTGCTGACTTTCCTGGTTGCTCGACCCTCAATATCCTGACGTCGCTCATATCCATCTTGATTGAAGCTTTACTCTCAACCCCCATCCCTCAATAAGCAACATCATTCGCCCGTTATTGGACAAAAAAGGGGAATATACTTGTTATTGAATGAGATACAGTTCCTCAAATGTCGATCTGGGTGACTATGAGAGAAAAAACATTAATCCAACAATTTTGCCTCTTGGATAATAGCACATTCCATCATAGGTGATCATTGAGCATGAAAATGACGAATGCCGCCATCTTCAAAGCATGTATGGAGTACTATAATGCAGTCGAAAAGACATATAAGGTCGTGGAGGGTTTCGAGATACTGTACAGGATGCCCAGAGCAAAACATTGAAAACGAGCATTGCAACTTTTGACAGCGACAGCATTGACATCCATTATCATTGGATATTTACCTGCTTTATTCTTCTATCCAAGGCATTCGCCCCTTATTGCATCCATCGGAATGGATCGTTACCTTTCCACTCACGTTAGCCAGAGGCCGAACGCCATCGCTATCGAAGACGATACCCAGAAATTGACCTATAAGGACCTAGGACGAGAAGTCGACAAGCTAGCCTTGGTGTTGAATAGTTACGACTTGAGCCCCGAGGAGCCGATTTGCATCATAGAGGGAATCAACTCCAAACTAGTCATTGCCCAGCTTGCGGTCATCAGAGCAAGACTGACCTGTGTGCCGATCGAGCCATCGACGCCCAAGCTTCGTCTGAATGATATGCTCGCTGATATCGGAGCCAAATATATTCTTTCTGACAAGGAAGACATTGCCAATAATATTGAACACACAGTGATTCCTATAACAAGCCAGAGTCCTCATGTTACTTCCGATATGCGGAAAGACAGCCAAGGAAACGGTTCGGTCCATGACCCAGACCACGAATATCGCAGCCATATTTTGTTCACATCAGGATCAAGTGGAAGACCCAAGGCTGTTCAGATACCAGAAAGAGCTATTATTCATCTGGTGACTAAAACAGCTTGTACGCCGCTGGAACCCTCTGACCGCGTTGCACTTATCAACAACCCTGGCTTTGATATTTCTCTCTTCGAAGTGTTCGGTCCCTTGGTCGCAGGCGCAACAATGGTCCCCGTACCTCGCATAGTTGCGACTGATCCGTTCGCGTTCCGAGAGTTCATCGCAGAGAAAGCTATCTCGGTGATATTCTTGACGGCGGCCTTACTTTCTATTACTGGCTTCACCTGTCCTACGGCTTTCCGCGGTGTTCGACTTGTCCTGAGTGCCGGAGATGTACCCAGTGTGGCTGCCGTAAAGGCCATCATGAAATCCTCTGCACCTCCAAAACATCTCTGGAACACATATGGCCCAACAGAAACAACAACGTACTCTACCATGCACGAAATTAAAGCTGAAGAGCTCCAGCATGATTCCTTAGCCATTGGTGGGCCAGCTGGGGAAACTAAATTGTGCCTTGTAAATGCAAACCTGAAACCCGTTACGAAACCCGGTGAGGTAGGCGAGATCCTTCTTGGGGGGCCCGGTATGACCACAGGATATATCAACCGCCCGGAGGAGAATAAGAACAGCTTCGTCACCCTACATGGAATCGAATATTACCGAACCGGCGATCTAGCAAGGTATCGTGTAGCTACACCTGACGTCCTTGAGTTTGCTGGCCGCGCAGACCATCAAGTAAAGCAGGATGGTTTCCGCGTGGAATTAGGAGAAATCGAACAAACCCTCCATGCAAGCGATTTGTTGTCCGGTGCTGTCGTACGGCAAATTACTTCACCAGACGAACACGAAGAGCCTTTCCTTGTTGCATTCGTGATACCTGCTATTGCTAATACAGTTCGTGCACGTACACTCTCTGAATACCTCAAACAGAGATTGCCATCGTATATGATTCCGAGGGATTTCATTTTTTGCTCGGAGTATCCCATGACGGCGCATGATAAGGTCGATCGGAAAGCATTGGAGCAGCAGTATCGAGAGAGTCAAGAGAGGCAAGGGGTCGCCAATGGCGAACAGACAAATGGCCATGGAAGCGGCACTGAAAGTGTCGTGAAGTCTCTCTGGTCATCCTTGCTGAACAGGGACAACATCGACAACGAGGATGACTTCCTTGCACTTGGAGGAACGTCTCTTCAGTGCGCCGCTCTGATAAATAAACTGAGGCATCACTTAGGAAAGACGATCTCTATGCGATCACTTCATGAGAACTCACGACTTTGTGATCTGGTTAATTACCTTGACGAATTTGCTGAAGGAGGAAATGCACCTGTCGAAGCAGACAAGTGGATCGCACACTCCAAGATCGCTGACTCTCTGCATGCGGTGCCTGATTGGCAAGCAGAAAATGAAGGAAAAGTATTCATATCAGGTGTCACTGGATTCCTCGGTGTCAATTTTCTGAGCAGATTCCTGCGGATGCCTACAGTCAAAGAGATCGTGTGCGTCGCACGGGCTAAAAACGGCATTACACCTCGAGACAGAGTGGAGGCGACGTTGGAGCAATATGATCTCTGGGACCAATCAAAATCACATATGCACAAACTAAGAGTCTTGACTGGAGATATATCTCTTGATTTGCTTGGGCTCCCAGCAGAGCAGTTTGACTGGCTGGCCAACTGGGCAAGTGTGGTCTTCCATCTGGCGGCCAAAGTTAACTTCTGCGATCCATACCAAGCCCATTTTGACTCTAATACGCTGGGAACGAAGAACATGTTAGATCTTGCTGCTAGTGGACGGCGAAAGGCCTTCCACTTCATGTCCAGCATCGACGCATGGGGCCCAACAGGCCTGGTATTCGGGACCCGTAGGTGTCTCGAAGACGAGCCTCTTGAGCGCCACGTTCGAGGCTTATCATTCGACATCGGCTACGCCCAAAGTAAATGGGTCTCTGAAATGATGGTCCGTCGAGCTCGCGACCGTGGTCTTCCCACTGCCATCTACCGGCCTGGATTCACTGTCGGTGACTCCCAAACCGGGGCTGGCAATCCGGATGACTTCTTTGCACGCTTGATAGTCGGCAGTATCAAACTGGGTGCATTTCCGGTTCTTCCACGCCAGAGAATGGAGTATGTGACTATAGACTACGTACTCGATGCTACCCTTCACATCGCCTCTCGCAATGAAAACCTTGGCAGATCATACAGTCTGGTTGCTCCCGACCCGAAGGACTCGGTGAACCTCGAACAGACCGTTGATGTAATCAGGAACCTCGGATATCCATTGAAGCATATCCCCTACTGGGACTGGGTTCGCATGCTACAGAGAACAAGCGATATGGATAATCCCCTGCTCCCTGTGATGCCACTACTCCAGGAGCCAGTGTTGAATGGAATCACCAGGTTTGAGACAAGTAGGGATACGCCTCACTACGATAGCTCCAACACTGTTGCTGCCCTGAAAGATGCACCGAATATTCAATATGTGCCATTCGATTCCAAGATGCTGGGCAAATTCATTGATTTCTGGGGGAGCAAAGGATTTTACAAGATGCCACATATTAGTAACTGATGATGGCATTTCGAACTATTGCTACCCGGTACCGTCTTTCGCGTTTCCATGAGATGGCCGGTCCAGAACCGTCGTTGAATCGGATATGCATGCTACCTGCTTTTCTGTGAATTTTATTGTCCCGGTAAAAGAAATGCCGTCTCCACATAGACAGGCCTTTCTTGTCCTTCTTTCGTCATTGTCGTGGTTAGTATTTTATGTTTTTCCAATATTAGCATAGTGTTCATCCTCAAAGAGACCCTCAAAACTACAATAAGCATAACTAGCGAGACTCGTTACCTTTCGGGGTTACTGCATTCTTAGATAGATTCCCGAAATAGAAAAAGGTCATTCAAGAATATGCCCTACTATCATACCCTCATAGTCGTGCATGGTGTGATTGGGACAGCGTTATAGACTGATTCATGGTATAATGTCCCCAAGAGATGTATATCTAATCAATCGTATGTATTGGTAGGTCTCTGATGCCCTACGATGCATTACCTCTCTATCTCTCTGGACTGAATCCAGGACCATAAGTACAAACTTCCAGAAGATATGTCCCAAATGCTATCTGATATTGGAGACTCAATAAACCATCTCTTGGTTTAGTCCAAGCCTAGCGAATATCACAGATTCATAATTGTGTGATAGAAATCTGACTGCCGATACGACAACCCTTGATCTATTTTTAGATAATGTGACATGCATAGCCTTCCATGGAAGTCACAAGAGGAGTCATAAGGGGTGGTGGAGAGGAAAATGTCTACATATCTAGTGTATCATAGGGCAAGCTATAATCACAACACACTAAGATTGAACTTCAGAACTGAATGCTGACAGCCATAGTATACTATAGTACTGCTTCTAAGACAAATCCTCGATCAAAGCATCAACGTTCTCGGATCCATCTACTGGTCAAGGCAGAGGGAGGTCTACCACGGCAGCTCCTGTCCCTCATAAGTAATGAACTTGCCCGAAGTGGTCTCCCGTGTAGCCCCATCAATCACCTGCAACATTCCCTTGACGCTATTGTCAATCGTCTCGGGAGGGCCAGCTGCGTAACCCCACTGCTGAGCGACAAAGTCTCCCGCCCGCGTCTGTACCCATCCCGGGTGTAGCGCCACGGCAATCAAATTGGGGTGCTGGGCGTGAAGTGCGCGCGTGAGCCAGTTTCCCGCTGCACGGCTAGGCCCATAGGCACCGCCCGGGACGGGTTCCTGGCCGCCGATGGAGCCGACGGAAGAACTAATGTTGATGAGCTTGGGCGTCGCAGCGGACTTTTGGAGCAAGGGCCATAGTCCCTGGAAGACGAGCAAGGGAGCAATTGTGTTTGTTTCAAAGGATGCCCGCAGGTCTTCAGCCGAAGTCAAGGCGGCCGGCGCCATGGGCGCTGCGTACCCGGCGTTGCAGATGAGGACGTCAATGCGGTCTACCCTAGTGGCTGCATTGAAGACTTCGATGACCCTTTCGGGTGCAATAGCCGATGAGAAGTCGAGCTGGAATATGTAAAGGCTGCTCTGCTCGCCTGTGGTGACAGCTTGGGTCTCCGCTTTAAGACTGGTGGCTGCCTCCTCATTGCGGACAGAAGCAATGACTGTGGTAGCTGGTCGTGCCAGGAGCGATTTGACTAGGCCAAGACCAAGACCTCTGTTTCCGCCAGTGACAACGTAGACTTTGTTGCCGGATGCCATGGTTAACGTAGTAGACAGAAGACAGTGGCACGGTGGAATCTATGGAATGAGTACAAGAGTGAAGTGCGTGGTGACTCGGAAAGCAGTGGTTCGTTTCCCTGTGTACTAACGTAAAGGGGGGAAAGGAAAGACAAAGGGGCGGTCCGGTGGAGAGGCCAGGGTTTATATAGTTGGGTACATCTCCTAGTCCTTCTTTGCTTACTTTTCATCTGCACTAAGCACACTTCTCTTGTCAGAACTTAGGGTTTCTCAGACTGGATTGGTCGGTTGATCTACTAGTAGTAGAACATTCCATCTCGTTTCTGTTTCTGCCTCATAGTTCGATAAGACGCTAGGGCACACCCTGCAGCAACCTGATCTACATCACAGTATACATATGCGTGATCTAGCGTTCACACCTCCTGCAGTGGAAGTCGAGGTGCCAACATCATCACCCCACCTTTGGGAACCCTAGTGGCCTTGATGCCTGAGACATGCACCGCCCGCTTGGATGGCCTAGGCTTCTCCACAAGGCCAAGTGAGCACGATAAGACAACAGACAGACTTGAGTCACTCCTGCATTGCATGGTGTATCCGTCCTCGATGATATTGAGTTACTCCGGCGAAAAGTTCTTTCGAGTGTTTTAGAAGCCATTGATGCGGCCTACTGTCAGAGCAGGATATGACTCGCTTGCGTTTCTAATCTTGTTGCTACCTTGTATACCCTTCGAAGAGCCCTCGGCAAGTGGCTTTGCAAACAGCAGATACTTTGAGAGGCTTTTGTGTGTGGAGAATTGTCTATTGTCTCTTGGATTTTTTAGGTGTGAGTTTCTTGTCATCGTCGAAGTGCAGAACGACGAATGGGGCTTTTAGGACATCATAATGTTGAAGGACCATCATTCATATTTTAGAGTATTCGTTATTTGTAGCACCCATGCTCATGAAAAGTACCTCCATCCTACCCTTACCCACGCACAATATTATAGTCGCCGGATAAGGAAATGTAAAAGGAACACGATAAACCTCCAACAAAGCAAGAACCTTCCTTTCCCTGGTTGTCCCGTGCAAGCACTCAGTCAGATGCAAAGAACTGCATGGTAGATACTCAGTAACCTCTACGCAGAAGGGTTGCCTGCATATAGTCCCTATTTTCTCGAAAAAGAGGATAACATGCTGCAATCAGAGTACATCCTCAAAAGCCTCCCTGAGGCAGAGATCATAGATAAGCTAATTTCTGTTGTATATTGCGAGATTTTGAAGGGAAGGTGCTGTAAATATTCACTTCTCACGATATAAAGCTGTCATAAGGCCTGCAACGATCTCTAGCAGCTGTACATGCAGATTGTAGTGAGCACTAGGTTCCCAAAATAACCTAGAAGAGTTTAGGGTATGCTAAGTTGCTTAACCAGTCTCCATATCAAGTGGTGGAGTGGAAACTGTGGAGACGGAAAGGTCGGGCGTCGGCGGCAGAATGTTCGGGGATCATGATGAAACAGGACAAGATCCGTACCCGTAAGCTAGGGCTTAGGGTACATCACGTGCAAGTGCCAGGCATCACGTGGGCCACTTGGTTGCTAAGCGAGAAATGGTGAAATTGAGTGTCATCGCCTCTTCCGACCAACCGGACCTTTCAGCGATCGTCAGCCAGCAACAACGAAAAATCGCAACCAGTATGTTATTCCGTCGATTAAGTGGTGTCGTTATATTGATCTCGGGATCATGAGCTAATCTGTTCCTTTTTTTCGCGCGTCTACAGTGCAGATGTAGGTTTCCCTCGTTCTCCGCACCATAGTGAACCTTTAAATCCCGCCGATGCGACCCAGAACCGGCTGCGAATGAGATGACACGAACGATGACGGGGAAACTGTTGCTGACAAGATTCCGATGATAGTTTCGTCAAGACCCTCACGGGTAAGACCATTACCCTCGACGTTGAGTCGAGCGACACCATCGACAACGTCAAGGCCAAGATCCAGGACAAGGAGGGTATTCCCCCCGACCAGCAGCGTCTGATCTTCGCCGGTAAGCAGCTTGAGGATGGCCGCACCCTGAGCGACTACAACATCCAGAAGGTATGAAGGATCCCATTCTCGAGGTGATTGATTTGGAGGTGGCCATTTCGTGATCGGATATGAAGAACGTGCGATGCGGTTTTGCTAGCGAGGGAGGTGTAGCAGATCAAACCGCACGGGTATCATATTGGGAACGAAATTGAGTCTCGGAATTTGGATATGCATTGTTGAGTGAAAGGACCGGTCGGCTGATGGGCATCAACTTTATAGGAGTCCACTCTCCACCTCGTTCTCCGTCTCCGTGGTGGTATCATCGAGCCTTCCCTTAAGGCCCTTGCCTCCAAGTACAACTGCGATAAGAGCATCTGCCGCAAGTGCTACGCCCGTCTTCCTCCCCGTGCCACCAACTGCCGTAAGAAGAAGTGCGGTCACACCAACCAGCTCCGCCCTAAGAAGAAGCTCAAATAAACGATTCCTATCTATCTTGTTACGGTTTTTCTACGTTGCTGTGGTGGAGACTTGCTGGGGGTTATGAGTCGATTGCAGCCTGGGAGGTTTTGTACGGCGTTAGAATGATGAAACATTACAGCCAAAGTCAAATGTTAATAGTTGACTCCCTCTCGGATCAAGTTGCAATCAAAAGAATTGTAAAAATTCAATCTCGCTCATAATCCCTTGTGGGGTTAGGTACAGTTTTACAAAGACAATGAAAGACCATCGAACGTAGAAATGAAAACACGATGTCGATACATAATTTGGAATATGGCTCTGCTGCCCGAGCAGATCCATCAAGTCATCTAGCGGATCCAAGATACATTGGAATTGGGAGGAGCCTCAGGTCCCCTACATGCCCAACATGCGTCGCTTGTCGTCATCGTCATGCTTCTCGTCATCATGATCCTTCTCCTTGTCGTCCTTGTTCTTCTTGGAAACCGGGCTTCCATGCCTGCAAGTGTGATTGATCAGCAAAGGAACGGGGTATGAAGGCGGGTATTGAGGGGACTCTTACGCAAAGAATAGGATCTTGATCGCAATGGCGAAACCTGCATGCAGCACAACGACCAGAATCAGTAGAATCTTGCTGGCTTTAGCATCCGTAGCACTCAGCACAGGATACAAGTTACGCAGCAGGAAGAAGACGGTCCAGCCAAAGCCAACTCCAACAAGCGCCCAATTGAGCGCAGTCAGGGGGCTCCAGCTTACCAGCGCAACGGCAATCCAGATCAAATTCGAATATCCATACAACGCCCAGCACTCAATCAAGTCCGCAGTGGAGCTGCCGAACCAGCGCAGTGCACCCCACAGGGCAATTGGTAGAACGAACGTATATCCGTAGACCAAGCCTGCAGCCCCAGAGAGAAGCGTAAAGTCGTATGCGAAGTGCTCCTCATCGTTGTTTGAGAGCCATTGCGAGATAGTGCCGGTTAAAAAGAGGATCACGACCACGGTGGTGGCGATCCAAAATGGGCCGTACAGGTCGGCGTTGCCTTCCAGGACATCGAGGAAGTTACTGCGCGGGTACACTGCCGCGACGCATCGTCTTAGGACCTCGTTCGTATCGACATCAAAGAATTGCGCGTAATAATGGATCGACCACCAGGTATGCTTTGAAGGGGTGCCCCCAGGTGACCTGTCACGACCGCGGGAGGAACCTCCGCCGAGAAAAGGTGTCGAGTCCTGCTGCACTTTGGCATTGCGCTGATCATTTTCGAAATCTTGTAGGAAAAGTGTGTTAGTAATTCCTGTTGGCGAAATCCATGATGGCCTCCACATAGGTGAACAAACGTACTGGAGGGATGGAATTCTAGGTCCTCCTGAAGGTCGGTATGGCCAAGGTCGCCCTGGAGCCAGTATTAGATCGTCTCGAATCGAGCAAGCAAGATAATGAGAACGTACCTCGGTATCCGCATCTACAATCACATCATAGCCCCGGTTCGCCATGTTGGGCTGTTCGATATGTCTAGAGAGCTATGTTGGTATGAAGGTAGAGAGTTGTGGAAGAGTACACATCAGCGGCTGGCGGCATGGTCGTAATCAGCCACGCACTAGCCACTAATTTGTGGGACCCGCGGGTAGTAGCAGGTATGTCCCTATGTTTTGCTTAAGTTTCTACTATAAATGTACGCAGTAGTTTTCTTTCTACTAGTTTTCCGCTTTCCTCCAAATATGAAGGTGGCAATTTTTTATGTAGCTTTTCTACTGAGATAATTGATCCGCAGTAGTATAATAATGTAATATTGTACACACAAACGCCGTTTTAACCCAATCGTCTCTCCCCACAAATTATGAAGTGGAAGAAGACTAGAAGCGCTCGTGAGATTGGAAAGCCAGCTTGAATCGATTGATATACGACCATATCGTCGAGTCAAAGCCCTTCTTCCTCATCCATACTGACAAAGCACCAACCAAAATCGTGACGGCCACAGTTCCAATTGTTCTCCTGTGCTGCCACAAGAAACCAACCGCCTTCTTTTTCCGCTCTTCGTAGCGCAGTTGTCGCACTTGTCTATCAAAAAGATCTATAGCTTCTTCAGTTGTTTGTTTCTCGAAGATATCTCGAGTACTCTTCAGTACACTGATCTGCGGAATTTTCTTCCAAGCCCCGAGCGGGAGTGATTCTGGAGGGTAGTCATTGAAGAGTTGCACAGCGCTCGATATCAGACCTTCAAGATTTAGAGGGCAGGGTAGCTTCGAGAGGGTGAAGTGTAGCATCTCAGGCTCATCTTCAGGGATTTCCAACAGCTCCTTCTTCCGGGAAAGAATAATAGCAACAAAAAGATAAATAGAAACAACTGGTTCCCGAGCCAGCAGGAAGTCAAATAATCGGGCGATGTCACTATACTCTTGAATATCATGAGCATACAATGTAAGAGTCGCTGCAAGCGCAAAGAATGGCTTGATATCCGCAATATGGCGCCGCAGGATAGGATCAGCTCTTTCCATGATTGCTGGGATGAGCTGGAGGTGTTTCACCGTCGGGGAAAGAGAGGGCAGCATATAGTCTCTTATCCGGAAGAGGGACAGCCGCGTAACCGCTGAGGCCGCTGTCCGCCCCCCAAGTACCAGGAGTAAAACTTGCACGATATCATGATAGCCTTGAAAATAGCAGAGCATTGGGTAATGCCGTAACACTTTTTTGATTAGATATGACAGTTCATCTTTCTTTGAAGCTAGCTCTTCGTCACTGCCTATAGAGAAGGTTTAGTGTATGTAGAAGCCCGGGATGCAAGGATACCTACAATTAGGATAATAGACAAACGACCTGTTCACGTCGAGCTGGACTTGGTCTTCATCGACATGTGGCGGTAGGTCTTCCCAGTCCCCGAGCTCATGATCTCGGTCGCTTTGAAGAAGGATAGGCCCTATTCCTTAGTTTGTGAAGTGTGACGGCCATTCATGTTGGTGACTTACAAGCTAATCGTCTAATGTCATCGCGAAGAAAACCACCTTCTGAAGTGGCATATGAGACTAGCGCATCCAAATCGCGCATCTCGCATGCCCGGCGAATCTTATCTTCCTTCTCTGCAATGCGAGCTGCAGCTTCCTCATTTTGAATTCGCTCCAAAACTTGAGATGCACTTTCAGATACAGAATCCTGTGCTGTTTCAAAACATGTCTCTGAGCCCTCACTCTCAGGTTTATCTTTGAATTCAGAACGATGGTCCATCTTTGGCTGGAACTGAAAAAAAAGAATGAAATGATTCCTTCAGATGTTTGTTAACTCATAGGGGTAGCAAATAAAGACGGCAGTCGATTTAGGAATTAGGATTTATCAGTATTTCGTCTGGTAGGCTGACCATGGATGATAAAAATGTATTGCTATTATTATAATTACCAGCTGGCAAGGGCCCCACGAGCTACATGCCAAGTCAGACCGATGCGGGATTGCGTTGATAGTTGACAGCGGGCATCAGCAGAAGATTGACATTTTAGCGCGGGCGGTTTGCATACCGAATGGACAATTGGACACAAGAAGGAGCTATGGAGTAGATGCAAGCTGAGTCTAAAGCGGACACATCACTGCAGGCCTCAGGCTAGAAGCTGCTATGTCCCGTGATTTGCTGTTCATCGGGTTTTATCCGATCCGCCCACCGCCCCAAAGACAGCAAACATGGCGTCAATCCATCAGCCCCTCTAAGGCATGAAGTTGTTGTCAGCCTCTGGAGATACCCTGTTCCTCTCAAACAATGCTGCCATGACTTAATGTCACCGATTCTGCACTAAGAGGCCAGCACTGTGTATTTCGGTGCCCCAAAGGTGGTGCAAGAGTTCCTGTTGAACTTGGCCGCAGCTGGAGACGGACCCATGCGTTTCTTGGCGGTTGTATTCACAATTCCCACATACTAGTTCCTTTGTTTGTTCCGCTCAAGCTTGGATGCTCAAAAGGGGGATGGTCCTGGCCTATTGAATGCATGCTATTGGTACGGAGCACCCTTGTATGGCGATCTATATGCTGTAGTAAGTCCTCAGGTCTACTCGCCTTCCGAGGAGATGTTCTAAGTCATGCAAACAGGTACATTGCCCCTCAGTTAGAAATTCATCTGTTGCCAGGTGCTTGCTGCCTCGATCATCTGCGACGAGGAGCAGCTCATGGTTAAATACATTCTGGTTTCCTTTTCCGCTCGGGGCACGCCAAAATGAGATATTATTCTTATACAGCTTCAACCATGTTACATGAAGAACTTCTTCTTTGACCCCAACACCTTTCTATTCTTCACCAAGTCTGCTCTTCTTTTTGCTTGAACAAATTGTGCCACTGTGTGAGCATCGCGTTATCTGTGAAGGTCCAAGCGAAAACCTGGCTAAATAAAACCTACCGGTCTTCCCTCGAAGAGCTTTACTCACCTTTCTTGCATTGATTCTATTGCTTCCAATAATATTCTATTCGCCACGGTACCCGTCCAGGAAACTGCAAATCCTCCATCAGACCACTATGCCTTTCCCAAGAAACTACCAGGACACTAATCCCAATTCTATAAATGCCTCCCTAAAGCGCCACGGTGCTGATGAGATGGAGATAGAAGATGACTTATTCTCTTCTGACTCCCACCCGAAAATAGGCATTTTGTCTCGCACGCTGATACCAAGTCCAATCGTCCAGTGGATACTACCTGCGCGCCTGAGAAGTGAGCATCAAAACGATGTTGTTTTTATCGGCGAGCGAAGCTTGCAAATCAAGGAAGCCGTGTCCGGTTTCCATTTGGAGGACGTCACTTCAAAGTCGGACTTTGATTCCAATATCATAGCAGCAAAAGCCATCAATGTGGGCACAGAGTTACCTTGGGAGGCACAGATGAAATTGGGGTCAAGCTCTGCACCTGTCAATTCACAGCCGCAGATAGGGTTGCCTCCCCAGATATTGCTGTTAAGTCTCGCGTCAAGAGAACTAGTTTTCCTGTATTATTCGACCTCGAGTGATCAATTCGTCCACCACCATCGGCCCTTACCAAGTGATGTCAGTACATTCGAGCGGTTCGGTCGAAATATTGCAGTGGAGCCAAGGTAGTGATCTCTTTGACTTACTTGGGCATGGCTAACAGGTTTACCAGATCTCGTGCTGTAGCAGTTAGTGCGTCTTCTGATTATTTTGGTGTCTTTACTTTGAAGCAGCCGCCAGTTCTCCAGTCACAGATGGCAGATCACCAACTAGACCCCATATCAGAGGTATGTGCACAGTTATAGATTTCGCCTTCATGTATTAAGCTGCGGCACAGGAACGCTTCTTTCGTGTTGGTGGTGATATCATATTCATGGAGTTTTTATACCCAAGACCGGAAGATGACAGCAAGATTCTACTCCTCCTTTTAGTGGCGCAGGATCAGATTACTCATGCAATATGTTATGAGTGGGATGCGAACGAACATCTGCGCCATGCTTCGCCAATAGTCACCAAGAGACTACTGCCTTTTGAGGACAGATTACCTACAATGCTCATCCCCTTGACTAAAACGTCCTCTTTTATGCTTGTTACAACGAGTACAATGGCTGTATATAAGAACAGGCTAGATCCTCGGAGACAGCCTAGCAGGTATCCGCTTTGTCTCCCTGATCGAGAATCTCGAAAGTCCCCATTATGGACTCGGTGGGCAAGGCCATTGCGCAATTGGCTATACAACCAAAAGCACGACGATATCTACCTTTGCCGTGAGGACGGTCAAATCTCTTACTTAGGGATCGGCAACGAAGGTGAAGTCGAAAATCAAGCGCATCTGGGACAACTTTGTTGTGACGTCGATGCTGCATTCGATATTCTACACTTTGGTAACGAGGGCGGCGATCTACTCGTTGCCGCTGGCAACACAGGAGATGGTGGTCTATTCGTCCAAAAGGCTCGAGATCATCCTAGATGTGTCCAAAGATTTATGAACTGGTCTCCTGTCACAGACTCTGTACTTGTGAAGTCGCGTAATCAGCAGATGCCGTTGTCTGCAGACGTCGCTAGCGATCGACTGTTCGTTTGTTCCACTTCATCCTTCGAACAGGGTGCAATCGTTGAACTTCGTCACGGGATTGAGGCACAAATAGGCTTGGTCGTCTCTTTGGAGGGCCTGTCAGGAACAAGAGACATATGGACAATGCCGACTGGCACAAGTGGCGGTGTTATTGTGTTAACATCCGATCCTATGTCTTCCGTCCTCCTGGACTTGCCGGCTGATTTCGAAGAAGAGATATGTGCTATTGACGAGGCGGATTCCGGCCTGGACTGTGGAACCCAGACACTAGCGGCAGGAAGCACAGACATAGGTGTTATTATCCAGGTTACGGAAAGGGCCATTCATCTTGGAGCAACCTCTGAATCAATGCGGAGCTCTCGTTTTGAGTTTGGTTATGACCAGAGTATCACTGCAGCTGCCGTAAACGTGTCTGCATCTCTTATTGTCGCCGCAGTTCGCGACCAAGGTGGACTGCACCTTCATGCTAAAAGACTAACCCCATCTGGCGACCAAGTTGCTTTAATCGATGTGGGTGAGCCGTTAAGGATGCATTTCGAACCGGTCTGCATCTCTGTCATCACCTTTGACTTTGGGTCTCTCATTTGTGTGGGCGCGGGCAATGGGAAGATATTTCTCTATATCATAGAGAATGAATCTATCACGTTCGTGTCCGAGAAAACCATGGACGTAGCGTATAACGGGGACATATCTAAGGCAATTGATAGCCTTGCAATTGTCAACAAAGTAGAGAACGGGCCGTTGAAGAAGTTTGTCTTACTCTGCGGCCTACGAAGTGGCATCTTGCTCCCACTTGGTGTTACGTTCGACAGTGTTAACGCCGTGTCTAGTATTGGTATGTCTACCTCATATCTGAAGATTAAAGTCTTGCTGACTTATGGTGTGCATTAGTGATAGCCCAGGCGACCCCGCAAAGATTAGGCCATACGTCTCTGAAGGTGCAGAGCAGAGGAGACCTTGCGTTATTAACTTGTGGGCAAGGATTTTGGCAAATATCGTGCGCACATGACAGTGCGGCGCCGGACTGTACTCTTCAGAGGATTTGGATCACGGACCAGAATAATGTAAGTCTCAGTATTCCCACACGCTCCCAGATGCAGCAGCTAATGGCCTCAGCCTGCCTACCACCCAAGAAGTATCCACAGCTTTTCAGTGGCCAACTTTGCGAACTCGGACGTGGAAGGTCTCTCTAATACGCTTTTCTGCATCGCGGACGGACAACTTATGGTTTGCACCTTGCAGCGAGTTGAGAAGACTGTACCCAGGAGAATAGGTGTGCCAGGCAGCGCCACTAAGTTAGCATATTCTCAGTACCTGAGGAGCTTGGTTGTGGCATACAGCCGAACTGAATTCGATACCGACGCAGATCCTATCAAGCGCTTCACGCGCTCTTACATTGAGTTCGTCGATCCCGATTCACAGCAAGCCATCGGCGGTCCTGATGGACTCGGGCCCTGGAGGCCTCATGGAGCAGCCGGAGAGAAAATCAGTTGTATTCTGGAGTGGACACCCAAGAAAGGTGATGAGGAATATCACTTCATTGTTATCGGCACGGCCCGTAAAAACCAACAGGACCGAGGCCGGGTCATTTTTCTACAGACGTCAAGGATGTCATCAGATCCTTCGCAAATCGAATGTAATGTGAAATATGTTCACAAATTCGAGGGACCGGTTTATTCGATCGCACCATTTGGTAACTTTACGCTAATGGTTTCAACCGGGCATGAGATTGTACCATTAGAACCCAAATTCTCACAGACGAGATGGCTTCGGGCAGCAAGGTACCCTGTACCGTCTCCAGCGGTTTCTATGAGCTCCCATGAGCCCTACTTATACATGTCGACTTCGAGGGAATCCCTTATGATCCTCAATGCATCTGAGGAAAAGCTGGTGCTCCATGCTTACGATCGGCATAAATATGACGGGCTCTCCCATGTCCATCTTGGAGGAAATATGCAACTCACACTAGCCTCCAGCAGAGGTGGCCGGATCAGTCTATTGACTGGGAGAAGAGTAACTGAGAACGATAAGATGATGCCCGTAGCATTGTGCGAAGCACATCTTTCTACGTCTATAACGAGGCTCAGTACAGGCACCTGGCACTCCACTATGCCTACCAGCTGCCAAGTGATCTATGGGACAGCCATGAACGGCACAGTGTATCGCTTCTTGACACTGAAGGAGAAGGAATGGCGTTTGCTGTATTTGCTGCATAATTTGTGCATCCGCGACACAGTCATATGCCCTTTCACGCTGAAAAGGAAACGGCAGCGGAACCCAGCAGGAAACGAATCCCTTGAATTCCAGCCCTCTCAGATGCACATCGATGGGGATGTGTTGAGTCGTTTATCGATCCGAGGGCCGGGCTATTTAATGTACATGCTAGTTACGGAAGAGTTCTACAGTCCCTCGACTCCGGAAACTGGCTCGCCACAGGCCATTTATGAACGGTTTTTAGAGCTGTCGAAGGACCTTCTTGGAGAAACCTCGAACCCGGTTGAAGATGTAATGAAGTGGCTCAAGCGCACACTGCATGTGGGATTCTAGATGGGGAGGATCTTAGATGAATTGGAATGCACATATGCTGTACATTGAGAATAGAACATAATGGAGGACCAATGAATTAGAAGAATTGGTTCTGTTCTGAGTATATGCAAGGGATGTATAAATTTCAGTGTGACGGAAAGAAAGAAGCGGTTAATTTCGTCGGCGAGGTACCTTGACGGCCTGAGGCGGCCAACTGGCGGCGTCTCGGATATCAAAGCTCCAAGGATTTGTCCCCACCAAAACCATCCCAAAATTCTTATTACCCACTCAAAGGCACTCGTCGAGTCTCCAGCCTTGGACCTTATCAACCACAGGGGGAAAAGGTGCTCGTTATCTCTTTTCACCTCCGTCTTTCTTTTTCAATTTCCTTGTGGAGGAATTTCGGCTTAATTTGCCACTCTGTTCTTCGACGGCCGCAAGTAGCTGCCGGAGAATCTGATATTCTTGTTCGTGCACCTGCCCACAACCCATTCATTCATCCAACTCCTACACGGGTGGCGCTTTCTTCCTCCTTGTCACTAACATATGTCCCGTAGGAGTACTCAGGGATATCTCTACGGTCTTCTGTCAAAAAAGACGATTCGCCTTGATTGAACCCGATCAGTAGCTCGATATCTCCAAGATGGCGCCTAAGAAGAAGGGAAATAAGAGACAGGAGGCTGATTGGGAAGCCGAGCTCGGTGAGGCTGCTCCCGGAGCCGGTGGTGAGGCCGCCCCCCAGGAAGATGCCGCTCCCGCCGAGGAAGAGGCTGGCGGTGGTGGTCTACTCGCCACTTTGAGGAAGAACAAGGCCAAGAAGGGAAAGAAAGGAAAGCAGCAAAACGATTTCGTCGAGGGTGAGGACGCACCTGCGGCGGCCGAGCCTGAAGACTTCTCCAGCAAGCAACCTGAAGAAGGTACTTTCGATGACGAGGATGACGTCTTCTCCAAGAAGAATCAGAAGGCTGCCCAGGCCGCTGCAAAGGCCGCTGCTGCGCCCAAGGAGGCCGGGGATGAAGGTGAATTCCGTGTGAAGTCTAAGAAGGAGAAGGAAAGGGAAAAGAAGGAGAGAGAAAAGCAGCGGAAGAAGGAACAGGTATCTATCGGCCTTTTGGTCCCGGTCTCGGTCTCAATCCCATTACACTTGTGCTAATTATTGAATCTGCTATCTAGGCCGCTAAGAAGAAGACTGAGAAGCCTCAGCAGCCTGCTAAGGCTGAGCCTGAGAAGAAGCAAGAGCCGACACCCGCCGCCGCCGCTGCTCCCGCCCCCGCTGCCCCCGAACCTACTGGTGGCAAGAAGAAGAAGATTCCTGCCCACCTTGCCGCTCTCCAGAAACAACAGGAGGCTCTCAGAAAACAGCGTGAGGAAGAGGAGCGACTTTTGGCCGAGCAGCAGGCTTTAGAAGAGGAAAGGAGACGTGCGGAAGAAGAGGAAGAGAAGAAGAGAGAGGAAGCTCGTCAGCGCAAGAAGGAAAAGGAGAAGGAAAAGAAGGAGCAGCTCAGAAAAGAAGGAAAGTTGCTCACCAAGGCCCAGAAGGAGGCAAAGGAGCGCAATGAGCTGCGTCTGAAACAGATGCTTGCTGCAGGTGCAGGCAAGGTTGCCGGCTTGGAAGACCAGGGTGCCGAGAAGAAGAAGCCTGTTTACGACAACAAGAAGAGACAGAAGAAGAAGGGCCCAGCTAAACAGGAAGAGGACTTGGAGGCTGCCGCTGCACGGGCTAGGGCCCAGCGTGAAGCTGAAGAAGAACGCCGAAAGAAGGAGGCCGAAGAGAAGGCGAAGGCTGAGGCTGAAGCCGCCGCCGCCGCCGCCTCCGCCGCTGCTGGTGGAGAGGAGAGCGAACTGGACGACTGGGAGAAGGCTGCTGACGCAGAAGACGACGTGAAGGATTCATGGGACGCTCCTACAGATGAGGAAGACAATGCCGAAAAGCCAGCCACAAATGGTGCCAAGACCGAGCTCCCTGAGAGGCCTGCTGCAGCTCAAAAGAAGGCCGACACTGAGGAGTCGTCTTCCGAGGAGGAATCTTCCGAAGACGAGTCTGATGAAGAACAGTCTGCAGCACAGAGGGCCGTTGCTCAAAGGAAAGCCGAAGCCGCTGAGCGCAGAAAGAAGCAGCACGAAGAGGCGATGGCAGCTCGCTCAAAGGACAACCTGCGCTCCCCCATTTGTTGTATTCTGGGACACGTCGATACCGGTAAGACCAAGTTGCTGGACAAGATTCGTCAGACAAACGTCCAAGAAGGCGAAGCTGGTGGTATTACTCAGCAGATTGGTGCTACTTACTTCCCTGTGGATGCTCTGCGTCAGAAGACTGCTCCTGTGAACAAGGATGGTTCATTCGACTTCAAGATTCCTGGTCTGTTGGTCATCGATACACCCGGTCACGAGTCCTTCTCCAATCTGCGTTCCAGAGGTTCTTCGCTTTGTAACATCGCCATCTTGGTCGTCGATATCATGCACGGTCTCGAGCCGCAGACCCTCGAGTCCATGAGGTTGCTCCGTGACCGCCGCACTCCCTTCATCGTTGCGCTGAACAAGATCGACCGTCTGTATGGCTGGAAGAAGATTGATAACAACGGCTTCCAGGAGAGTTTGGCTATGCAGAATAAGGGAGTCCAGAATGAGTTCCGCACGCGTCTTGAGCGGACCAAGCTCCTGTTCGCCGAACAGGGTTTCAACTCCGAGTTGTATTACGAAAACAAGTCCATGGCTCGCAATGTCTCTCTCGTGCCGACTTCCGCTCACACTGGAGAGGGTATCCCCGACATGCTGAAGCTGCTGACCACTTTGACCCAAGAGCGTATGACTAACTCGCTCATGTACTTGTCGGAGGTCGAGTGTACTGTTCTTGAAGTGAAGGTTATTGAAGGTCTCGGTACGACCATCGATGTTGTCCTTTCCAACGGTATTCTCCGGGAGGGTGATCGAATCGTACTATGCGGTCTCAACGGTCCTATAGCAACCAATATTCGAGCGTTGCTGACACCCGCACCTCTGAAGGAACTTCGTCTGAAGTCACAGTACGTTCATAACAAGGAAGTCAAGGCCGCCCTTGGTGTTAAGATCGCAGCCAACGATCTCGAGCAGGCCATTGCTGGTTCCCGGTTGATGGTCGTCGGACCTGACGATGATGAGGAGGACATCGAGGATGAAGTCATGTCTGATTTGGAGAACCTGCTGAGCAAGGTTTCCAAGGATCAGCGTGGTGTCAGTGTCCAGGCCTCGACCCTTGGTTCCCTCGAAGCTTTGCTTGAGTTCCTTCGTGTCTCTAAGATCCCCGTTGCCAACATCTCCATCGGCCCTGTTTATAAGCGTGATGTGATGATGGCTGGTACGATGTTGGAAAAGGCTAAGGAATATGCCGTCATGCTGTGCTTCGACGTTAAGGTTGACAAGGAAGCGGCTGCATATGCCGAGGAAGTTGGTGTCAAGATCTTCACCGCAGACATCATCTACCATCTGTTCGATGACTTCACTAAGCATATCGCTGATTTGACGGAGAAGAGAAAGGAAGAGAGCAAGATGCTTGCTGTCTTCCCTTGTGTTCTCCATCCCGTCGCCGTCTTCAACAAGAAGGACCCTATCGTCATTGGTGTCGATGTCATTGAAGGTAGCCTGCGGATGCATACACCACTTGCTGCCGTTAAGAGCAACCCAACAACCGGAGCCAAGGAGATTATCGAAATTGGCAGAGTGTAAGTCATTTCCCCTCTTTTCTCTATATCCCCGGCGCCTTGCTAATGTCGGATTATAGTGTATCAATTGAACGTGATCACAAGGCAGTCGCCGTGGTCAAGAAGGGTCAACCCTCTGTTGCTGTCAAGATCGAAGGAGCTAACCAGCCCATGTACGGACGTCAACTGGAAGAGAAGGACACTCTGTACTCTAAGATCTCCCGTGCCAGTATTGACACCCTTAAGGAGTTCTACCGTTCGGACGTGTCGATGGAGGAGTGGGGTCTTGTCAAGAAGCTCAAGCCCGTGTTCGACATCCCTTGATTTTGTACGAACTTATGACCCACCATAGCCCGGGGACCTACGATTCATTTCGACAGGTCTTTGATGGTAACCATGAGGCATTCGACACTTGGCCGTTTGCCGGAGTTCCGGGCAGACTCAACTATGGGGTAACGAGCTATCCGACATGTACCCATATGTATAGGTTTACCATATAGCGATGTGATTTCTTTATGTGCCGTGATGATTTAATGTACTACGTCGAAGTAGTGCATGACGTGATGAAATAAAACGGAACTGGTTAGGGATAACGTGTGTTAAAAGATGGACCACGGTTATCTCTGGGGTTAGGCTGGGATGGAGAAAAAAGAATAAAAGTCACCTAAAAGACCTGCATGCATGAGGAATGATCACGACTGGATTGTCCAAAAGCAAGATGTCTGTACATGAAATGGATTTCAAGAGGCCGTGGTCGATACCAATAGTTATGCTTGTTAATGATACTTGCGATTTAGTTCAATGCATTGGATTTCTTTTGACTTCTACCACATGTGATTAATATAGGCGGTCTTTACAACGACCTCACTGTTCCAATAACCCATATTCTCCCATCGTCCAAGATAACCATAGCCTACCCATCTAATACAATATATACAACCACCCTTGACCTTCCCAAACCCCTCCCCCGAAAGGCCCAGAACAGAAGAAACGAAAAGAGAGGAGAGACGAAAAGAAAAAGACGAAATTACTCCGACTCCCCATCCCATCTCTCAACCCTACCGCCCCTATCCGCCCAATCCAACCAACTCCCGTCATAAACCCCAATCCTCTCAGCATCATACCCAGCCTGCACAGCCAACTGTGCCGCAGCCTTGGCCCTCACCCCAGCCTTACAATAAAACACAATATCACCCTCTTCGCCAGCCCCAGGCTTGGGGTATCCAAACCTCGTCTCGAACTCCTCCGGTGTGAGGAAGAACGCATCCGGCTGCGACGCAAGCGGCACGGAGACAGCGGACGGGATGATACCCGTCGAGCTCAACTCGGCGGGCTCGCGCACGTCAACGAGGATGAGGTTCTTTTGGGGTTTTGTTCCGGGTGAGGCCGGGAGGGAGGCGTTGATCTTTCATTGCGGGTCAGTATCACATTGTTTCTCGAGCAGTGGTTCTTGATTGCTTTTGTAGGTGTGATAGTATGGCAGGGGAATGAATACAAGACTAGGGGCAAACGTACATCTTCAAACCCCCATTGTCTGAAGGATGGTTCACCGTCGCTTTTCCATCGGCGGAAGCTCTGTTGCACTGGAGCCAGCTTCATGCGGCGTACGGAGGGAATTCCACGAGCGAGACATGGCGATGGTGCTGTTCCGAAGGCTCGAGTTATTTCCGGGACGGTGCGGAATGATGATCTGATTGTGGCCGGAGCGGAGATTTGCTTTGCGGTGCGGGAAGCGAGCCCTGTTAGGGGACGTCGGATGGATTGTATCGAGGCCATTTTGGGTTGTGATTGGGTTTATGATAGTATGTTGCAGTCCTCAGGATTGATGGAGATGGAGTTGAGGTGATGTCAGTCATGAATGTCGGGGCGTCCTACCGCCTGCTTAAAGAGGAGGATGGTAACAATACGACGGGTGAATCATGGATGGAAGATTACAGTATGGTTACGTAGGAGTACGGCTAAGGGCAGGGATTCCATGGACGATCGGTGCAGGGGTGTACCTTGTCAGCACTTAACCTCAGAACTTTATCTTTGCTACACTCGCTTCAGTTCATACTGAACATAGATGAAAGACTCACAATTATTATTATTCTAGGTAGCGTAATCTAAAAATGGCACGTCCTTCACCGCTCCACTGCTCATGAAGCTGACGACCCTGCATGAATCGTTTAATATCATGTACGCCTGGACGACTCGGCCCCCTATATCGCGAGCGCAGGAGTCCCTGTCGCTCGTCATCGGCACAAGCATGATCCTGATTTTCATCCGTTAAACAAGAAAGGGTAAAACGAAAAAAGTCACCCCCGAAAAGAGCAAAACCCAAGGTGAAAGAATAGTACAAAAGAAGTAGGTACAGGTATAGAAGGAAGAGAAAACGGGTTCGGCCATTCTATCTCCAGGATAGAGAACATAACACTGGAGGGCCAAAAGCCAAAAGGGAGCTGAAAGAAGAGGGAAAGGGGGGGAATTGCGATTATAGAAGTTTAGGCACGAGGGCGGAATGTAAGCAGGCAGTCATCCTAAATTGCATTAGCACTGTGTGACGGGGTCTTTCGTAGGATAAAGATACACATACCTGGGGAAAGATAGTGGCAAACACCTTGATGTCTTCCGACTTGGGGGTGGTGGTGTGCTCCCACGTCATCTCCATGCTGGCCTTGCCAATCATGGCCATCAAGTTTAGCTGAGCGTAGGTCTGGCCCAGGCAGTAATGGGGTCCAGTGCCGAAGACCAACCAGTTCTTGGGGTTCTGCTCAGCAGTGCCGGTGATCCAGCGATCCGGGTCGAAGGAGTCCGGGTTGGGGTACGCCTCCTCGTCGTGGGTTGCAGGCCAGACGGATGGGATGATCATAGATCCCTTCAGCACGGTAATCTTCTCGGTGATGGGGAAGTCCTTCTTGACCAGGTAGGGGACCATGATAACGGGCGGGCGGTAACGCAGAGTCTCCTTCACGACAGCACGAGTGTATTCCATCTGATCGAGCAGCTCCATGGTGATAGGCGCATTGATATCACCGTTGCGAAGGCGCACATTTTCCTCGCGGACCTTCTCCAAGACCTCGGGGCGGTCGGCCATGAGCTGGAACAACCAGGTAGAGGCGGCGCTAGTCGCATCCTGAGATGCGAACAAGAAGGTGAAGACAGTCTTGGCGATTTCTTCGTCAGTAAAATCCCGAAGAAGTTGAGGAGGCTTCTCCGCGGGGATGCCTTTAGCGATGTCTTCCCGATACTTCGCAGAGACCTGCTGGGCCTTGACCCAGGCGTCCATGATACATGACACTTCTCCCCCAGCAGCCATACGCGCCTTGCTCTTGGCGGCACACTTGGCGAACTCCTCCATAACCATATCCGCGGCCTTCTTTCCGTACCATGTCTTGGTGAAAGGAAGGATGATCGGGAAGTTGACCAGCTCCAAGGCAGCCGTGATCAAGTAGTAGTCATCGTTGATCTTCTGGATGACCTCATCGGTCATGTAGTGACCCACAAAGGTACGACAGGAGATGGCGGTCATCAGTTCACGGAATTCAGGCATCCAGGGGGTGGGCTTGTAGCCATTGGCCTTGGACTTCTCGAGGAAGTTCTTGAAGTACTGGTTAAAGGTCTCCTCCTGGCGGGGAAGGTAGCAGGTGAGCGCGGAACGGGTGAAGAGGCCATTCAAGCCTTTGCGAAATTCAACATGGTCCTTGCCATCCAAGAACACCCAATTGTCCTCTCCAAGCAACTTATGCGCCGAATCGACAACACAAGGTTTGACGTAGGCGGGAGAGTTGAAGATCTTCCTGGACATGTCACGGGTGGATGCGATGACGACGAACCTATCGAGGTTTTGGTATCAGCCGTTGTCCCAATGGAGAAAGCATACTCGCACAGTGAATACATACTTGTGGAAGACAGAAACGCAGCTGAGTTCTCCGCTGTCCCATTTGGCCTTGTACTCGTGGAACTTGGGGTTGACCGACTGAAGGAAAGGTCCCATGAATGGCAGCTTCCATCTTGGTCCCACGATGGATCCTTTCTGATAGAAGTACCGGACTGTATTGAGTTCAACTCATCAGCCATTGTTTACAACGGATGCTGCAGAGGCAGCCGGAGAGGGCACAGGAGTCGGAGACTGAAGGACAGGATGGAAAATATTCGAGGGCCATGTAGACAACTTACATTGATCGTAGATAACAGCCGCGATAAATAGAGTCAACAGAGCCTTCCAGACATTGAAATCGCCAAGGAGGGACCCGAGCAGTCCGGAGGGCTGGAAAAGCTGAGGGACAACGGTAGCATCCGCTGATGGGGAGACGAAGCTTCCAGTGACGTTGGCCATGGTGGAATGTGGTGGTGCTGGGAACTCTCTTGCTCTCGCTCTCCAACAGTGAGATCAAGGAGAAGGAAGAGAAAGAGTGACGGCAACCCCGTGGACAGACGCACCACTTCTTTTCGGGAATTTGGCGAGAAGAACGGCCGAGAGTACTAGGAGAAGGGGAGGTGGGAAAAAAAAAATTAATATTATTAGATCGGCGGACGGTTACGGATACATTACTGTTAAGGAAAAAAACGCTTCGGAAACACCGGAGAAACTCCAGACGTAATTAGAGACACCCCAATGGTCTCCACTTGAATGCCATTAATTATGGGAATTCTATCCAAAAATTACGGACGGGAGAGGCATCTGGAGATGCTGGTCGAACACACGCGTGGGGAGCGATTGATGAAGTATACAAAGATTACAATGGAATAGTATTTGTTACTAGCGACTAGGGTCATCCGGGATGCTGGGTTTCTGTTGGCCACTAGTGGAAGTTTCGGGACCCTTACAGCGTCCGGTATTGACAGGGATCCAATACGAGCAGTCCATTAAACCTATCATGATCCCTGTTCGTTACTCTGTACATTGCACGAACTTCCCCCTGACATCCTGGTATTGGTATAGTACTGCTACTAGTAGTACTCCGTATTTGTACCGAACTGCTGCACCTTTTCTGCAGTGTTCATCTCAGTCTATCCCACTAGTCCTGACTAGTCCTAGTTCTAGCGGTTGGTCTCCCCGGTTCCATGATACAATGTACATTGTAAATAACAGTACACACCCTCTCGAGTTAATACTGGTAGACACGATTCTGACTTTTTCAACTGTTTCCCCCCTTTTTTTTGTGATGTTTTGTTTTTCTTGTTTTTTTTTATTTCGAATCATTGGAAGCAAAGACCACTTCGGTTCTAGAATCGAGTCAGGAACTAGATCCATTGAATAATTGTTCTGATCCCCGGTGACAACGTAAGGTTCACTATTGGATCCATAGTTAACTAACCCGAATATTTATTATAAATAAGGTGGAATTATCATAGATCAAGCAATCAATTAATTCAGACTACCGATAATATGTATTTACGGAGTAACAAAATATCACCCAAAACAGTAGATGTTAAGACAGTCCAGAAGTACGGAGTATATCATCGCCTGAACCAGAACAGAGTCTGCATGGTAAAACCCCAGATACACGTGCACATGGGTGGAAATAAATGTCTTGCCCTTACTCCAGGAAATTATTCGAGAAGGTGTCGAGTAATCAGCGAAAAGGTGATTCGGTTGTCGAGATCCCGGACCCTTCGTTCCCCTTGGCCTGTGCACGTGCTCTGTTCCTCAGGCCAGTTAGTCACCGCCTGGGGCAGGCAATCACAACTATAGTGGAATGAGTGGATGGATGGATCCATGATTGCCTGATTTAAATGCCTGATTCAGCAGCATCAGTTGACGAGAGTCTGGTGAACTCTTCGATTCAGTGAAATTCCCGGCATAGGCATTAGCGGGTCGCTCAATTTTTTGTTGCATTCTGGATCAAGGGCAGATAATCATAGCTTCAACCTCGGTCCTTCTGTGTTTCCACGCTGAACTTTTCATAACTCATAAGTTTCTGATCTTCTGAATGGCCACTCAGCGTAGGGCTTAAGCCAGTGGCCAATCAAGATGTCTGGATCTAGAGATAAAACCAAAACCCAATCAGGTCTACGTAGTACCCGAAACTTAGTATATTATGTGTATGTAGTGTTCTAGGGCTTTTGATCTTCTTCTTATCCCTCTTCTTATTTTAGGGCTGTTGTTGTTGTCGTTGTTGGTTCCAGTATAAACTCGAATGCACGCCGACGACATATATTTGCACCAATGCCACCAATCTTACATAGCATGTACATCTCACTAAGCATAAACAAGTGTGCAACTAGCCCCCGTGCCCCGAAAAAAAAATAGAAGTAAGAATCAACAGTAGCAGTATACACTGGCAAACCTGACAACAATGGAATAAAAGACCACTCACTCCCACAGCGATGTGCCTGGCCCAATGCCTCATAGTCATCGGACGAAGAGTCACCTCTTCTTTTATGTACCTGCGTGGAAGAGCGATGATAATCCGGGAATGGGCTAAGGTAATTCCAAGAATGACTAGGTAGCTACAGCGAACTGGTATGATCGGCCCATTACATCGCGTTACGCTTGCTCATATTCACTCAAAGCTTTCAAATTCGAGTCTATGATTTGACTAGACCCATACGAGTAGAAGTAGAAATGTCTTGGACATCCAAGCCTTATGTGCATCAAATAACGAAGGATCATTCCAACTCATACTGAACTTAACCACTATACCCATATCCTACCGTCCAAAGCCAAACCAGCCGCGCCGGCCTCCCTTCTTTTCCTCTGTGGCTGGCTCGGTTGAGGCCGGAGCCGCACCCTGGGTGCTCGCGTTCTCACGGGGGTAGTCAATGTAATTCCATGCGACGTCAAGGAACAGTGGCTTCACTGGTACTGGCTGCATCTGAGGTGGGTATGGGACAAGGTTCTTCAAATCCAAACCGTCACCGGGGTACTCGTGCAGCCGCTCAACCATTGGCCGCTCGCTGGCCGATTTCGATTGCTGCTCGGAGATCTTCTCCAGAGTGACAAGACCGCGGCATTGGGAAACTAGGGCTTGCAAGGTTGACTCGAGGGTCTGGATTTGGTTGCGTGTGATATCAAGCTTTAGCGGTTCTTCCGCTTCGGCGGTGGACTGAACCGAGCTCGCAGACTCCCGACTGAGCGCCAACGCTTGCGAAAACAACGCAAGTGCGTTCTTATATTTCCCGAGAATACTGTGGGACCGCCCAATGGTGAGACACCTAAAAGTTCATGTCAGAGGATTCTGCGCCTGAAAGGGGAATGATAAGCCATACCTCAAGGCCCGGAAGTAGGATCGTTTAGCTCCAAGCTCCTGAACAAATGTAGAATCTGCTGCCACACCGGGTAGCTCGAGAATGAACTCGATGCTCTGCAACGCAGAATCATACAAAACGACTCTTTCACGCAGACGGGCCAGCTTCTTGCCTTTGGTTTCTTCGCGTTTGGCAGAAGCCTTGCCACCCTTGGTTGCCTTGGCCTGGTCGGTCTCACCATGTACGCCGTCATGCTCACCACACAATACACGATTACGCCCGACTCTCCATCCTACCAAAGCGAAGTTGACGGCGGTGCGGGTAATCTGCAGGCTCTGCATCCTTTTATCTCCAGGATCTACACCCTCACCAACAAGGTCGTCGATGGCAGTCTTTGTAGCATCCACTGCATCTTGGCTGGCAATAATGACGTTATCATAGGCAGCTGCCTTGTCCTTCGATGAGGCGGATTTGCCCGAGGCATCTGCGAGCCACGAGGCGAGCCGAGACTCCGCCGCCGCCGCCGCCGCCAGAGCCTGAGAGATTGCGGCATCTTCCAGAGCAACGGTCCGTGATCTCCATGTGATGGTCTCAGGAAGTTGCTGAACTTCCCCGTCCGCAGTTCTCCTTGTTCCAGCAGCATCCTCTTTGAGACAGCTAGGATCCACCTTCTCAACTTCTGACCTGAGGTTGGTGTCTGACGGGAAAAAGCTGATGGCCAAGGAGGGTAAAGGCTTCGATCGTGGAAGCTTCATCTGGTATGCGGCATATCTCAAACTCGGATCAACGGTACCAGAGAGGAGATCCCGAAATGCATCCTTCTTATTGTTTTGACCAAGTGCTGCATATATAACCCTGGATACAGAGTAATCCTGCATACACTGCTCCCACTTCCGTTTCTCCAATGACAGGGCCCCTGAGAGTGTGGCATGGTATGCACGCGCTTCAAGAAGATCATTGCCAGTAGCGCCAGAAGCTTGGTCTTGTAACAAGAGAACAAGTTCGTTTGCATAACTGGCGGATTTATGCAGTCGCGAGATGATGTGACGCCGAGCGGCACCTGTGATTCCCTTGGCTGACGGATCAGCAGAATGCGCCGACTTCATTTGCAGCGCTTGTGCCCATGCTCGTTCTGAGCTTAGGAGTAGGATGTGGACATATCTGGTGAACAATATAAATCAGCACATGTGGTAATTGGGAAGATCGACAAAGGAGCTGTAACTTGAAAGAACATACGCAGCATTGCCGCTGACATTCTCTGCGCTGACGGGGGGTTTGGCAGTATATTTACGGCCCTTGGGTGTGGTCTGCCCGAGCTTCTTGCGGAGTTTGTGCAATTTGCGGGTGGTATGGGCGCGGTAGGCATTGTAATCACCAGCCAAGAGGACCTCCTCTCTCTGGTTGAAAATATAATCTGTAATATCCATTGTGGTAGTACTCAATAGAGGTATCAAGTGGATTGATTAACGCCTCTGTACTAAGGTGGGTAGGCGTCGGACTGGAGAGTGCGGGTTGCTGGCGTGGTCAGATTTCGGCCAAACGAATGACCGGCTGATTTCGCGGGATTCTCTTTTCCAGCATCGGCCGAAGCTCTTTGCTACCACCTTCTCAAAATTTCATTCCGCGTCAACTCCACGACATCTGGTCTGCGAACGCAGTCTTTGCTCCTTGTTATCCTGCTAGGGTTATCAAGCTTATCTCAAACTTTCTGCTGGATATTCCGAGCGACTGTTTGTCAGTATTTTGTGAGCTTCGTGCACAAGACACACTTCACGGTTCGTCTCTCCTCTCTTTAGCACCAAACAGTACCTTGTGGAAGCGCCAGTCTGACCCCCTTCGCTGAATTAATAGGAGACTTGGGACCGATATGCTACACATTCCTGTTAGATTTCGGTGATTTCAGGGTTTGACGCCGCAATCTTTCAAGGTAATGCTGGAACGGGCTGCCGGATGCCTTGAGAGCGCAGGACGGCGTTTCTTCCGGGATTCTAATGGCGCTATTCGAGGTCCAAGACCACTCTATCCAAGCTTTGGGCAAACCAGTGGCACAAGTTCGGACTCCCTGCATTGGCTTCCTGTCTCGCCAACTTCAACCCGAGAAGTCTCGAATACAGTAAATGGTACTCCGCCTGCAGGCAGAGTTGC